GATAAGAAACAACATATACTTCATTAAAAGTCTTACTTCTAGTAGCAATTGTAAGCAGTCGTTATACGACTCATTTTATATTAGATACGAGACTTGAAGCCACAGGCCGCAGATTGTTCTTCGTTTCTATCACGAAAGGCGTCATCCATGGCCTGAAGTCAGCCTAATGGCATCCCACATCGCGTCGCTGGCGAGCATATCTTGGAAGTGGTCAGTGATCATATCCTTGGCAGTTCCACTCACTTTTTTTTCTCTCATTTAATGTGTATTCAACTATAGAGCTATGACACTTGACCGGTACTATGTATACATGTAGGATGACTCTTTTGACGTTAGAGACACACATACTCTGGATTTCATTTGCAAATACCACTATGACGTTTGCTTGCTTACACAAACAGTCGACCCTCTTCCGTTAGTACCCACCAAAGGGACGTTTCAAAACCTTTGGTTATCCAAGCATGCCTTCGTCATCCATGCATACCAGCGCCGCGAGAAAAGTGGTTGTGTTTTGCCAGATTTGAACCAGCGATCTACTGTCTCAAATGGGATATGTGTCCAAGCTATCCAGACTCTTCTTGTCAAACCGGCCCAGCTGATGTACCATCGCACCATCCAACCATGGCGGTGTTTATAGTGTCACCTGCACTCTCGCAACCGGAGACTTGGCACGCACAAAGCTCAACTCGTAAAACTCCTTGCCAAGATTCAAAATTCCACGCCCGTCGAGACTGTATCCATCCTTCGCATCATCTTGTGAACTTGTTCTGAATCCTCTTACGCCCATCCCAAAGAACAGTCTGCCAGATTTGTACGCCATGCTTTGCTTCCTCCGTCGGGTATAAATATCGGCGTGGGCGTGTATTTGGTGACCGGCTGAGGCCAGAGAAAGTCGACGAGAGGTGTGATCATTGGAATGAGGATGTACTAGGTCGTACTTGCAGAATTGATGAGACTTAGGTAGAAGTCAAACTCGTTGGGTGCGAAAAAACGACGTAGAGGAGTAATTTGAATTTTTGCCTCGTGGGCCAACTTCTTTGATATTGCGAAATTTGACTGAACTTGGCTCTGGGAGAATATTTCACTCCCAGGTTCGTAGAAGACACCGCGTACAGGTGTTGAGTCTTGCCCTCCTTCATCTGTGCTTGTAACATTGCCTTATCTCTCCTGTGTTCTATATCCCTTCGTCTCATTTCTTCAATAATTTTTTTGCATATCTGTCTGCGTTTCTTCATGTTGCATCGATTCCTGGTTTGACATACCAGTTGCAATGAAGCCCGTTCCGATTTCAAGGTTGTCCGTGTTGGGACCCCTTATTGATTCTTCGAATCCCTGTGCTGATTTGAATGAAAATTCACTTAGCCGACTCGATCGTCCAGAGCCAATTATCCCGTCCGTTGATGTTGAAGGAGGAGCGAATGTTAGCATCCACTTCCTTGGCAGTCCTAAGTCAATTGAGCTGCTAATCGTTCTATTCCAATAAATTAAAATTTCCCTAAGTCACAACAATCTAATGATGCGATATACTTAATAAAGGGCAATATATGTGGATGATAAAGTTTATATTGTGATAGAAACCGAGTTGGTTATGAAAAAATCGATTTAATAAACTCTATGAAGAAGAGAAAATAACTACAGCTACAAGGTACTTATAATATTCAGTCCACTCTATGAGTCTCGTTTCTTATTCCTTTTCTTTAGTTCGAATAATTACCGCACGGCTACGCATTGCCCATATTTACTGTGCTATGACATTGCTTCGATCCCAACAATCTTATCATCAGAATCCTCAACAATGCGCTTAGGTATTCACCTAAGCTTAAACAACGGGTAAACCGTAACATTAGATCTCTTCATGCGCTATAAAGAGCCACAGGAACTGGCTCTACCAAGTTGGGCGTACCACCGTCTAATTGTGGCAAGGACTGGCCACGGGGACAACGCCGACTACCATCGACGTTTCAACCCAGAACATGAAGATCTAAAGTGCGTTTGCGGTCGATAGAAAGGGTCCTGGCATTTTTTAGAGTACCAACCTGCCTTGCAACGTTGGAGAAGCTGTGAGAAATTTGCCCCGCCTGGAGCCAAGGAGATGATTGGGGAGAAAGGATGGCAGAAGGTTTTCCAATTCCTAACTACAAGCAGATATTATAGTCTGCCGAAGAATGAACAGGGCGGGAGGTGACCACGCTGAGATTGTTTCTGACCCAAGAGGAGATGGGTGTGGAAGATAGGGATGCGGCATAGGGCACCGTAACATAGACAATTATTGTTCCTATTTCTTTTATCGCCCCTGGCTTTAATGCCGGTCATGTAGGTAGTAATGAGATGTCGAGACTCATCTACTCCTGTCACGTTAAAGATCTCAAATTAAAATTCGACTCATCACGAATCAATGTTAGTATTAAAATTCCAAGTATGGATTCGTGAAAGATACTGGGAACACTTCGGGAACTCATCGGATGGCTTCTCTTCCATAAATAAGAGTGATTGATAACTAGGGTCCCGATCCAATTATCCGACTTGGTCGTGGTCGGCTTCGCGACAATGGTGCTAGGGGGATGTGCTTAGGGGTGAGTGCGAAATAGACCGCAAGAGCGATTGGAATTCTTCATCAAATTGAGAAAAACAGAGGTGACTTCATACAAGATAAATCAACGCGTGTTGAATTATTATATGTTTGGAATTTGAGTGGGAAAACGGCCTCCATGTTTCCTGGCCCATATAAACTAGGAAGCGAGTTCCATAATATCGTTGTAAATTTCCGTCGTTCTTAGCATAAGTCCTTTACCTAAATGACATCACGAACGTAGTTGTTCCTAAAAACCACACACTTACTATGTAGCCAATTCTTACTGAACAATCAAAGACATGAACAAGCAGAATGTCTAGGTATAGTGCATTGGCAATTGTCTCGACTGGAGTTTTCGGTGTCGTCCACCAAATGATTAATTTCTACGGCCCTGCAATGACTAACACCAATTGATGCCATGATGACTGATGACCTTTTCCCGCTCCTCAATCTACTGAAGCTAATTTGCCGAATCCTCTTTTTAACGTGTTGTCAGCACTACCCGAATTCTTCATCTTGGCGCGCAAATACACCAAAAATGTCAGACAAAACGTTCTTGTCGGTAACTTCTCATCCTTCTTCCAGATTTACAGCTCTATCATAGACGTATCTTTCAACCAACCAAAACCTCAGCTTGGTATATCATGACTAATTTTCCTCCTTCCTGGTATATTTAGCATCGTAAATTAATAGTGCGAGATTGCAGAAACTATCGAGTAAGGCTCACACTTGCAACTAGTACAGCTGTCTGATAGATTATTAGGGGGAGATAGCTTGGAATAAGATTGAATTGGAAGGCTCATGTGAGAATAATAGGACTGACACTGATGAGAAGTAGTTGAATGTGGATATTTTTGTATTCGCTTTCGAGTTCGATTCAGATTCGGCTCTTCTCATCTATCACAGATATAACGAGGAAACTTTGCGTTTACGTGGGCACCGCTAAAAGATGAAGCATCGTCTTCGCCGTTTGCCTCACACGTGAGATGTTGTAAATCCGACCATAACCAATCTAAGCTTCGATTAGGATAAAATACTTTCTTAATCTTAGATCACCGTCTGCTTGACTCGGCTTCTAGCCTTAGCTGGTCCCCAAATGTGCGCCCACAACAATATGAGTACTCGCAAGAGGATAAAGCCCACGGCACACGTATCTTGTCATGCGAATTTTTGGGGTACGACTGACACATGTGAGGAAAGATATGCAAGACTATGCATGGGATATTATTACTATAAGTTAATGGACGAGATTAAGATCTCTTTGATTCGAGGTTCGTATATCGGAAATTATAGTGCGCTCCACTTTGAGTCATCTTTTATTTGACTTTTCTCTGATATTATATCATAGCTAGATAACTGCCCACGCAATCAAAATCTGATGCAAAAAAAAAGTGCACTCTTCAGCTGGACCAAGAATGTTGTATGCGAGAAGCTGGGAAAAGTCATGGCTACATAGTCTAGTGGTCAGTGACCTAGCCAGTCTTTAAATTAGAGTCGAAACAGCTTGGAAACCTCTCTCTTTTTGGATAAGAGATCACTAGTTCTATTTCGGCAATCTTTAGTCATATTTATAGAGATGCTCGTGTTCAGGGAGAACCTAATGTTTTTAAACTTCCCTTTGAGTACTGACGGAAGATGGTCAACTGTTCAACGCGAGAAAACATGCTTGAGCGAAATTTGCGCATGAAATACAGGGTATGAGTGTATATGAAGCTAAAAGAGTCATTTATCGTGATCAATAGTCATTGGCGGTACGTCATAGTTTTATAACTCAATACACCATAAATCGCAAAAATGGGCCCAAAACAAAAGTATTCCATAGTCCTTTTCATCCAATTTATCTTAGTTATTTTAGTTTTCACCTCGTATTCCTCAACCAACGCATGACTACATTGCAACCCACTTCTTCGGCGAAGAGCTTTGGATCTAGTTTCCTTGATAATTATAATTTAACTGGGCTCTCATCTAATTTCTTGACGAGTTGGCCCTCGCAGGAAATTTTGAGTCCTGTTTCAATTCATCTATCATGTAATGACCCCACTGTTGATTTCAGATGCTCTACCTTCTATGCTAAAGCTTGTCATATGGGGATGATCTGACGTTCTAGAAGATACCGGTATATTTTTTCCAATGGGCTGGACTCATGACGTCTGAAGGATTCTTATGCCCTGGCATTACTCGATCCCAAATTAACCGATATAACATTTCATGGTTCTTACCAATCTCCTAATGACAAGTGACTTTGCTAAATTCCATGCTTCTTACTATCAGGACTGAAAGATGCTTTGTATCCTTGAATTTTTTTTCATTATCTTCATGAATTAAGGGATCGGCTCACTTTGTACCTTGATATTTCTCACATAAGATCTTTTCCGACCAATTGTTACATTATTCTTTTTCTATCCCACAAGACCAGGCGTAGTTGAACATGAAATCGCTGTCGACTGTAATAGGAGCTACAATCATCTTCCAATTCCAGGCCCACGCTTCCCCAAATCTTCAAAGTCCTTTTTATTGCGGTAAAAGAATAATACCTTACGAAGTAGTGGAAAGAGCAAAAATCCATGCTTGCGTCAGTCTAGGCGATTCAGATTGGTTGAACGAATTCCCGGCTGCGCTAGATGGCTCGAAGATATTTGATATCAAAGATGCCACTCTCTTTTCCTGGCCACTTGACTGGATAAGTACAAGCGAAGCCGGCGAAAGTAATTGTTTGCTTCCTCAGGCCCCAAATTTCTAGACGTTGAATAGACCGTATGGCTTCTAACAAATTTTTAGGCAGTGCTAGAAATGTACGGGTTGTCATAGACTCCATGTGTAGGTTGATTGGTGTCCTCAATCGAATCGAAAACTCCTACCAAAAGTGTATCCAATCCCTAAATCCACAGGCTATATCGGCCCATTCTCTCGAGCTTAGTCTGGGAAATCCAATTAAAAAGTACGGGATTGGATGCAATGAATACCTATTTTTATATGGTGACTTACAGAAAGCTTATGAATCTCTCAGTCGCTACCATTTCACCTTGAGATCTTCGGGACATGTCCATTCTCAGGATGGTCTTCTTCAAAGCCATACTCTAGTTTCTGGAGGCGAAAAAGTGTGGTCATGGCCAATTGAATTTATCCCGGATGAATTCTCACCCCAAAGTAATCATCAGGTCTCTCTCGCTAAGCTGTTGTAAGGATCTAACACATTCATAGTTAATCCACAAACCAGGTTCCGTGTCGTATTAGACTCGTCCGGAAATAATAGGGGGCTTATACAATCTAATGGAGGCGATTGGAGTTGGTGTCAAGATATTCAGTTTATTGATAAAAAACCAGCCAGATCATTGAACAAACACAAGACCTCGGTTGGCGAGGATTATTTCAATGTGAATAGGGACTTCATGTGCGGCGATCAACTTATCACCGCTGTAACTATAAATAGCCACATGCAGGCAGCATGTATCCGAGTTCAAGCGCTGTTAAAATTGGGAGGCAAAAAGAAACTTAGGTATCCCTGGTCACCTCCAAATGTTGAATACAAATCAAAACCTATATGGTATTGGCCTATAAGACTTTCAGAACTTCACGACGAAAAATGTAAGGATGCCCAAAAACCTGTGGTTAGAGATGCTAACTGTGCTGGCACCGAAACAGTATTTAGGAAGCATCAGTTGATCATACTGACAAGTAACTGCGAATTTTTAGGTATCTACTACTTAGTGGGTGCCCAGAAGGTAGAATGCCAGAAACTACAGGCACCACTTCTATCGTTAGGATTACAAGCTGAAGATGCTACTTCTTAGTCACATCTCAAGAAGCGATATTTTAAAGATTTGATTTAAACCCGGGATTCTTGTCGGAGAGCAATATGATAAAAAGTTATAATCTAATACAAGTCATGGTGATCTAAACGACCTAAATAGTAGCACGTGCCCAATGAGCCCGTGAATAGTTTTTGCCTGGCAACATGTATTTTTTTTACATAATTTGATATGTATCAACTATCTAGCTATCACACATAATCAATGCTATGTGTAAATATTGCATGATTCCTTTGACATTAGATAAACTCAAATTCTGTATTTCATTCGTAAGTACCACTTTGGGATAAGTTTGCTTGTGGTAAACAATCGACTCTCCTCAGCGATTGTTCATAGGGAAGCTTTGATACTTTTGGTTATCAATGCAATCTACCATAACCCATTTACACGGCTATCGCGAGGAACGTAGTCGAGGTTTGCAGGATTTGAACTGACGCTTTTCTGTCCCTTGTGGGATATGTGTCCAAGCTATCCGGGTGCTGCTTGGGAGACTAGCCCGACAGGTATACCACTGCACCACTGCATCGCTGCATCGTCGTAGCATCTAGCCAAATTTGTCATTGAGTCAGTGTCTAGACCTACGAAAGTCTAGTCGTGCAGCGCACACAGTTCTACAAAGTGAAGTCTCTCTCAATAACTTAGGCATTTGAGATCAGTTGGAATAATATCCATCCTTCCATAATCTGGTAAGTCTGTGCCGACTACTCTCACTCTCATCCCAAAGATCTGGCATGCAGACTTGTGCACCATGTTCTTGTCCTCCAGAGGGTATTCGTTTTGCCATGGACTTTATCTCGGAGATCAGCTAGGACTAGAGACTAATTCGACGTGAGGCGTGGTCATTGGTTTAAGGACTTATTAGGTCATACTTGTGGACTGTTAACGTTTGGTGGGAACTAATCATGTTGGAAGAGAGAGGTTGATTTGGTGTAGAGCATTGAATTATAGCGTCGTGGGTCGACCTATTTTGTATCGTGAAATTTTACTGAAGCTGTATCTGGCAGCGTATTTCACACTCAGCTATTTTTTTTCCATCAGATTTTAATTGCGTATGCAGCAATCTAGCTATGACACGATATCAAAGGCAGAATAAATGATTCAACGTAAAGGAAGAGCACTCATGCCTCGGATTTCATTTGCAAGTACCACTGCGAAGTTATTGCGGCTTTTTCTTCACCATAAGTCAACCCTCATCCGTGAATACTCACCCAGGGGAACGTCTCAAAAACCCTGAGTTATCCAGACATGCCTCCGTCATCCATCAACTTTTCTCCGCGCGAAATGCGTTCTGAGGCGTCTTCTTCCTAAGTGGAGTAGGTGCCCAGGCTACTCAGACTATAGCAGAGAACACCACCAGGAGGCGGACCACGGCACCTTCCATCGTCAGCTTGTTTTTATAGTCTCAGCTGCACTCTCACACTCAGTTTTGTAGAGGACGTTACGGACAATTGTTCAGTCTTTGCACCCCGGGCGAATTGGATTGGTATGCCCCGGAATTCATCAGACAAGATATGGGAGACAGTCAACTCTTTGTCCCGACTACTTTGTGCAATGGCTGTACGAGAATGGTCATCTTATTTAGTGATAATACTTGCAGCTTCTACGAACAAATATTCTAAAGACCTTTGCTCTCTTTCTGTGCTAGTCTACACTAGGTAAGAATCGGAAAGCTCTCACCAAATCGACCATACCTATCATACCTATAATACCAACTCCCTGAACCGTCCTACGATCAAGATTCAGTCCTTTAGAGAAGGAGCCTGATATTTTCCGACTCGAGGAATCTAATTGAGTAGATTTTAAAATTCCAGTCTTTGAGATGAGGGCTTAACGCAAGTCAGTCGTGAGCCTGCAGATATTCAATCCCCACAGAGGATTCTACCGAGCCGAGATTGAGTCCAAAATTAGCCGAGAATGCTGCTACTGTCACTTGGTCTACAGATCTCTCGCCAACAGAAGATAGCACCTTGAAGTTAGGCCAAGCTGCTTCATAGCATACACGCTGTGTCAAGACTTTTGTGGCCTTTCAACACGGTCTCCTTTTTATCCCGAAGTGCAAATAGCAGAATGAATTTAAAGATGTGTAATAGAGCAGATAATATTAGACTTTTCAGGAAAAATGAGGTTTGCATTTGGTAAAATAAATCTGTCTATTCTCCTTCTTTTCTTTAAGGTCAGAACCTCTTCTTTATATCTAATGATCATATTTGATCCAACTTCTACCTCAGTTCAATCCGAAACATCCAGAGCGACGTTTAAACGCTAACTCTGTTTCGTTATGCGGAGATGACAATTTCAAAACAACCGCAAAAATAATAAGCCCGTGATTGTAAAACAACGGAATTAGACGAGACACCAACTTGAATACCTGAACATGACTTAACGTTTCACAGCTAATATCCAAGAGGCACTCATTCTTATACTCCGGAGGGCAAGACTGAACACCTATTTGCGGTTTCCTCTACGAACCTGGGAGTCAAATGTTCTCACACAGCCAAGATCAGTCAAAATTCGCAATACTCAAGAAGTTGGCCCACGAGGCAACGATTCAAATTACCCCACCACGTCAAATTTTCACTCCCAAAGAGTCTGACTTCAACCTAAGTCTCATCAAGTCTACAAGTAGGACCAATTACTTCCCCAATTTTGGTGCCTGGACCCACGTAGCTACAATGCACAGCTCATGTTATGATGATCACGCGACTCCATACGTTTGCTCTGTTTACTCCTGCTACGCTGAGTTGCTGTTATATTAACTTGGCTATATAGGAGCAGGACGATGGACACTCTTGGGGAATTTATGCTCACAGTAGGTCTCTATAGTCGCTGTCGCGTGTGTTCTCGTGATATGTAAGACTTGACTCTATATTCTCGTATAAAGGAAACTTAGTTACAATGAATGGATGGAGGTTGAGACCTCCTTATATCTTGCTCCAGACTTACTGTGTTGTTCACAGCCTAGTGCTAGAACATTCACTTATGATATCATTTCTCTCCTACGAGAAATGACCAGCCCGTTCTCTCTCAGTCTATCAGTCTCTCGCTGATTCCATTATCTCTATTCCATCGAGTTCTAGTTTGGTCCAGTATACCCACATATGAATTACACACTCAACACCCCACGGTTTAGTTCCACAGTCACGTGCATATGCTATGACGCGACCTAAAGCATGTACCATGGTAAGTTACATGGATAACACAATAGTTGCTATCATTAGTAAGCGATAGTCTAGGGACTATAACTGGAGAGCTTTCCTCACTTGACATAGATCAATCTCCCCATCACCTTTTGACCTATTCGGCCTAGCAGCCCATCTTTGGTCACCAGCAGCTAACTCCCTCAAACTTTGTGTACACCCGTTGGTTTATAGTAACTGATCTTTCATCAGCTTGTTTTCATTGCGTCGATATCAGCTAATATTGCAGGGGAAAAGAGGGGGTGTGTCATGTGAAATAGACTCTAATGATGTAAAGCTGTTTGTACTTATATTAAAGTTCTAGGGGTATCTGGTGTTAAGGGCGAAGAGGATTACGGACACCGCACGTAAACAGTACCACAGAGAATTAATATTTATCTACAGAGATTAATTATAGGAAATCTGTTACATTAAATATGCCCTATGCAGCTACTAGTGATCTTGATTCCTGACACGAAATCCTTCGCTACTGAGTGATCTGGTTCCCAGCCTCAGCATATTTTATTTATCTTTATTTAACGTCTGGCGGATCACGAGCCTCAGCATAATTAACTGAGTGATTCGAGTCGTGAGAAACGCTCCCATGTTGGATCACGTGATTGAAGTGCTTGAACGAGGCTGGGCCTGAAATATAGCCCAGCCTAATCGAACGGGGCACAGCCCGTAACATCTGGAATGATAGAAGTGAATAGAATAGAATAGAATTAAATTTAAGTCCCTACTGAGTCTAAGACTATGAAGGACTGCTAAAAGTAGACATTAAACCACCAAAATTCACTTGTTTTGATAAATACTGCTTTTTTAATCTTTTCCAATAGACAATGAGGGTTTAACCCTGAGTTAATATAGTTGTTATCCCTCCTCTTTCTTAAATCTTCATTTGATGCATCTATTTATGCCGTGTCTCCACTTTCCACCCTCTCCAAGTGCCATCTCCTTGTTGATATGTTTGTTTTCTTAATATATTCCAGGGTTTTTTCAATCCCAATCTTTGTGCTCATGATAGAAGTGAACGTTGACCGTCAAGTCAATACTGTACGAATCGTAAGAAATTGGGGATTTAAGGATCAGATATAAATGGTTAGGATTAGTAAGGTTTTTGGTTTTACTGAACTTATATTTTGGTAGTTAAAGTGTTAGTGTTTAATCTACATCTAATTGTCTATCTATGTTCTACCTCGCTTAAGTAGAAACATTGTGTTCTGATTACGTGATGGAATAACATTCACATCACCGAGATCATTACCAACCGAGACCTCACCAAGACTGGTAGCGATCGAAGATGAGTAGTCTTCGTCTACTCCGCACTGCGTGCAGTTCGGTCTGGCATTTCTAGATTTCAACAATATATTATGTAGTGCTGAATCCAAAAAGATTCAAGAACGATTCAAGAAAGTGTTACAAACTTTAGGTTATCGACAACACCCAAATCATATACCAATCACAACATCATTCTAACGACCACACCTCTCGTCGAATATTCTCTGGCCTCAGCTGGCTGCCAAATACACGCCTATGCCTATATTTATACTCGACTGAGCAAACACGGTGTGGCGCACAAATCCGGGAGACAATTCTTTAGAATGGGCGTTTGTGAAACCAAGACGAGTTTACAACATGATGCTGAGAATAGACACTATCTTAGCGGATGTGAAATTTTGAGTTTTGTCAAGGAGTTTTCCAAATTGAGCTTGTGTGCGCGCCAAGGCTTCGATTACAAGAGTGCAGGCGACACTCTAAATACTGTCGCGGCTAGATGGTGTGGTAGTCCATCATCTGGGCCGTCCTCTAAAGCAGATGTTATGAATCTACTTATTGGCAGATTTTCGAAGCTATTAAGCTGCAGAGGTCGAGTCGATTTTGATGAAGATAACTTATCGAAGTTATGAAGTTGCGAATGTGCAAATGTGCGAATTAATTACGAGGAGACAAATGAAGTAATTAAGGCTCAGATTATCAAAGGTTAAAAATTCATATGTTCAGATTATCATATAATCAAAATCGCGAGTACCAAATAAGCAAATTGTAGAAAATCAAAAAAACCAAAATTGTTAGAACTAGAGAATGTTAGAGTATAGAGGACTTCGGAGTAAGAATTGCCTGAGATAGGAGAAGTTAAGTTTGCATAATTAACTGATAGACTACAAGTATTATGATATATACAGTGGAATTACAAGGAAGAGAGGTTGTCCGGAACCGACTCGACTGCAGAAATGAGTGGGATCCCAGACCAGAAAAGAATTATCCACTGAATCACAATACTGGGTCATTTAATAGAAAATACGAACAAACCAATTACTGGATTTGTTCGGGAAGAATGGGATTCAAGCAGACTCTATCGTTGAGTCCGATTGGATCAGAAGTATGGGCTCCTGCCTGAACTCAGGAATATAGCTCAGTCAAGATGCATGCAACCACATTGGTCGTAGAAAGAAAAGCAGGAAACTGTATTTCCAATAGAGAACAAATTCAAATGTCCAGCCTGAACAAATCTAAACCCCGTTTCCTCAGCCCTAACCGAATGAAGAAAATAACCATTGCACCACCACATCCAGATTAAATCTAACAAATTCATAACAACAGATACTGGATAGCTTGGACACATATCCCACTTGAGATAGTAGATCGCTGGCTCGAATCTGGCAAAACACAATCACATCTCTCGTGCTGCAAGTTTACATGGATGACGAAGATAAGCTTGGATAATCAAAATTTTTGAAATGCCCCTTCGGTGGTTATCCCCGGAGGAGGGTCGACTATTTATGTAAGCAAACACACCTCATAGTGGTATTTGCAATTGAAATCCAGAGTATGAGTGTCTCTAAAGCCATAAGAGTCATCCAATATATATACATAGCACTGACCTTGTGTCATAACGAAAAATCCGAAAACACATTAAATGGTAAAATTATGGTCAAGAGCAACAGTAGGCGAAGAAAGATTGCCACAAAAGAGCTCTAGGATCTCAATGTACTATCTGACGATTTATAGAGAGTGGTCTTTTGGAATGGGATAGCACTAGATGAAACACAATATACGGCCCATATTTTGACTCCTAGGGCACATGTAAAGGAATTTTACAATTGTTGACAATGTGGCCATAGATGAGTTTCTTAAAAATTTTCATAGCTATATACCTGAATTAAATATCATTCAAAGAAATAGGGTTATCTCGTCAGTCAGAGGGATCAACTAGATGCGGTAGGAATCACCAGTCACGGGGGTTGCCGAAATGAAGATTTTACTGCTAAAAATGCGCCAATTCTCATTCCTCCCGGCAAAGTCATATCTACAAGACTTTCTAGGTTTATTAGGCCGGTCCATTGTTAAGTGGCTAGGGATAACATGTTGAGACAAGGAGTTGGGTTAGGATACCTACGGTGGTCTAGCGTTATGGAAGCACTGACGACTTCTCAATTACTATTCGCTTAATTTCACACACTTTTTTTTTTTTAATTCATAGTGGCTCACACACTTGGATATATGTAATTTGTAGACATAGCTTTGCTCTTTAGCTTTATTACCTTTTAAACCTTGAGTTCTTGCTTGCCATATTCTGCGTGTCATAACATCCATAAAGATCAAGGCAAGAGCCACTTACAAGGACTGCCGATGTTCACAGTAGGAAATTTTCTGAATCAGCCAGGACAAGTCTGACAGAGGCGGAGATAGACTAAAGTTTTGTAGTTGTTGTCAACAAGAAGGGAAGGTTTGGTTCGAGTTGAAAGCTATTCATATCAGGTAATACCCTACACCCAAGGAGCGTGATATCAGTATGTGGTATCTGAGGGCTCACATTATATGATCAAGCCCCTTGGGGCATAAGGAAAACAAAGGAAATGAATATAAAGTTTCGCAGTTATGACGGTCTACGTTGTATTTGCCTCTCATCCACCCACACAGAAAAAAAGGCTCTTATGAGCATCACTGGTGACCCATTCTACCCTATAGAATACCCACATGGTCATAACTTTTGTCAAGAAGTGCAAAAAACACTGCCATCCCTCCTCTCCAATCGTCGTTTTAACCTGTGGTAGGGCTTTCTGCTCACAGCTTCTCTATCGCTGCAAAATACCATGGCCTCTTCTCGACTGCAAGGGCGGCTCAGGTTCTCGATATAGTGGTAAAAACGCCGACGGTAGTCTGTGAAGTCTCCGTGGCCAGTTAGTGCTGCTATCAATGGATAGTATTGTTTATTATTATTAATTCGTTTTATTGTCCTGTCTGAGTCTATGACTTTGTAGGACATGCAGGTCCTCTCTGCCTACAGGCCAAGGATACCTGTACTAGTAGTATATCCCCTCCTATGCCTCCCGTACAGCTCCCCTCAAACAGTACCACCCCTCACAAGTCCTCATTCGATCATACACTAAGAGGAGCCCTTAGCCCTTCATTATCTCCCCTCTCCAGCCAACGAAACGATGGCCATTTGCGGGTGTATGGCAGCCGGAAAATTTCGCAAAAACCACTGGGTGCGGGGCTCTTCTAATACCGACATTAAGAATAAATCCGAAGACGTATTGCCCCTTCTGAAGCGTTCAAAGAGGCCGGCCAGCTGGGCGCCGCAAACTTGTGTGTACCTCGGGAAATTCACCCTCTGCCTTTCTAGCCTCCTTCCAACTCCTTCCCGATGGTCGTGCTGAAATGTCAGAAAAGTCTTGACAGAGCGTGATTGCTGTAAAGTAGCTTAGCCCAACTTCTTTTCTACCGTCCAGGGCGCTGGGGAGTGCCGTTGACTCATCGACAAAAGAAGCCCTCCTGGCTAGTTAGCCGAAATCTTGGTCTTGGCGCCCACAAAAAATCCAAAGTTGAAAACTCCTCGAAAATGTCAGTCCCAGCATGGTCTTCAGAGACCTCTTTCCCCTCTCGCTCCACATCTCAGCCGCTTGTTCTTCCTCAAGATGTATAACCCCATTAGAGCAGCAGTCCCTCATAAACCAAGACCCCAACTTTGTATTTTTCGACTTGATTTCCTCCTTGCGGGTATAAATAGCGTCGTAAATATGTAGAGAGTGATGGCCGGTAATGAATAAGGCAAGCTCCTGTTTGCAATTGGGGTGACACCTTTATCGGTCGGCGAGGCGAGTTGATATGTGGTTAGATCGGGGTTGAGGACTCATAAGATAATGATGAGTGCTGCATGATTGAGAAGTCGTCAAATGGAGATATGCTTGTATTTGCTTTCGACTTCGATTCGGATGCGATTCTTCTTGGCTATCCCAGATATGCAGAGCATACTGAGCGATTACACCGGCACCACTGGAAGGTGAAGAATTCGTCTTTGCCGGCGGATAGTATTGTAGAATTGAAACGCTGGACAAGTAAAAATAGAGTTCTTATTGAGGAAATAATGACCCCTCAGTCATTGAGGTTGTAGAGCGCATTGATTCAAGATACTACCGAAGTGAAACTAAGAACAGAGTTTGCAGTCACGTGCAGATCAACAACGTGGCCCACTTGATAGCCCCAATTATTCTATATTCTAACAGTTCTCGGGTAACCCCTAGACATGATTGATCCAAGTAAACACCTGATTGTAGTCCAAAATTTTGCATGCATAGTCTAACCTCGAGAGTACACTATCCAAGGAGATATTCGCTCTTAATAGGACTCTTGAGTGAGAGCAGAGTGGCTTTCCTGTCAGTAGAATTCCAATTTTAGCAAGCTTGAGGATCCCTGATCATAAACATTGTATTATAATTTGTCACGTGTACCCCAGTCTTTATGCATAATGCACGCTAAGCCACAAATCTGTATATACTAGACACATCCTGTAATTGTAGAAGACAGTTATACACCGTCTTAAGATTTCACCATATAGAAGATATAGCAGAAATCCAGAGACACCGTTGACCTACGATTTTCGTACATCCACATTTTACCACCGTATCATCCTAGGAACTTATAACCTCAGAGTCCACCTTCTACTACTCGATTACTCAATTCGTAACCCATGGCAACCATTGTATCCCAGTAACCTCTATCCTCAGTTCCTGACAGCGCGCCATATCCGCGACCCACCACTGCACATGAGCCCGTGCCACTCCACCGACGGACAGCAGAGTCATAATTGCCATACACCTCACAGCTCATAACCACAACATTTAGACTTTTCAGACAGATGGCAAAGATAAGAAGAAAGTAAACTGAACCAACGGTAATATGCCAAACCACAAAGACAAAATTTATAAAGGCCAAGAGTTCATACTTATGTCAAATCACAAAACTGTAATATTCGAGCGAGGGCCAGTTTAGCACCACCACCAATTTCAGCACCTCAAGGGCCGAGCTTCAGCCGACAAATGTCTCTATTCAGCACGCGACTTTAAAGCTCAGCTATGTAGTATGGTAGATCTAGTAGCTGGTGCATAGGCAATCATTATGTCAGCATGGCATCATGGCGTATGAAGGAGATCCAGTCTCTACATAAACACATGACAAGTAGTAATGTGTGCGATATGAGAGATGGGTTGCTGACACAGGACAAATGGCATGGCTGCTCAGTTGGGAGCACACTTTGGAGAGCTGCATACTGGCTACGTGATAGGTCTACAAGCGAATAAGCTAGGGGATAAGGGACGAGCTTCCCCCAATCTGTAACACAACAATTATCATAGTAACTTTTCTTCTGCGCATTAATGAAGATATCTCTCAGCAATCTATCACAGCTGTTCCAGCGCAAGTGTACATTCCCAAATCATACACCGATCATAATAGTGACCCAATACTTCAAGACTTTCTACTGCTCGATTCAATTGAACTGGATTATATCCAAGTTCCTGCTGAGCCAACGAGTTTGAAGAGCTACTAAAGCTATCTAAAAGCTTTCGACTTTTGATTGACACCAAAATTTAACTTATTCAATATTTTCCTGCAGATGCCTTGGTTTATACCTTTTGCATCAACTTTAACCCCAACGAGATCGATTCTCTACAAAGTCTCATCATTCCTAAGAGTATGACCCAGAATATCTCTGATTCGATGACTATACATCTAGACAACTCAGCCTCTAGTCCTAGCTGATCTCCGAGATAAAGTCCATGGCAAAACGAATACCCTCTGGAGGACAAGAACATGGTGCACAAGTCTGCATGCCAGATCTTTGGGATGAGAGTGAGAGTAGTCGGCACAGACTTACCAGATTATGGAAGGATGGATATTATTCCAACTGATCTCAAATGCCTAAGTTATTGAGAGAGACTTCACTTTGTAGAACTGTGTGCGCTGCACGACTAGACTTTCGTAGGTCTAGACACTGACTCAATGACAAATTTTGCTAGATGCTACGACGATGCAGCGATGCAGTGGTGCAGTGGTATACCTGTCGGGCTAGTCTCCCAAGCAGTACCCGGATAGCTTGGACACATATCCCACAAGGGACAGAAAAGCGTCAGTTCAAATCCTGCAAACCTCGACAACGTTCCTCGCGATAGCCGTGTAAATGGGTTATGGTAGATTGCATTGATAACTAAAAGTTTCAAAGCTTCCCTATGAACAATCGCTGAGGAGAATCGACTGTTCTGTTGGAACAGACATATCTTTAAGAACTATGTTGAGAAAAAATACAGAGTATGACTGTTATTGAAAGGCTATGCTCAGCTGAAATGACGTACCTTTAGGATGAAGATATGGAAGGAGATAGCTATGGCTTTAAGAGAAGTGAATTTTGTGAGTTATACTCTTAGGACTTGGATCAATGGACAAACTTGAGGATATGCCCTAGTATTCTCGAGTGTATGAATGATGTGGAGATTGTTTAAATTTCCTATTGTATTAATGGCTTGTATTATCTACGTGACAGGACCTTCCTGTATACACATGAACAAAGGGGTTTCTACACACTAGTGGATGTTCCAACATATCTCATGGCGCATGTGCACATTATTCAAATGTGAACAGTTTATTGTAATACAGTCATGTTACTCCCCTAATTAAAAACAACTGTCCCTAGAGTGCTAGAGTCTTAAGATGTGCATACTAGACACTGGCCATGCGTCACAGCTAGATAGTGTTAAAATTGGCGCTACTTGTCAATGAAAAGTCGCATTAACATGGAACGTAATAAAGTTCTATTATTACTAGCCACATTCATGATAGCTAGTACATTGACCAGCCAGCAAAGGCGAATTCTTCACCTTCCAGTGGTGCCGGTGTAATCGCTCAGTATGCTCTGCATCTCCGGGATAGCCAAGAATAATCACATCTAAAATCGACGACTTCTCGTCAATGTCGGATCTATCATTCTCACGCGAGTCCTCCACCTCAATCTTACTATACCACCTCGCCTTCACGTCTGATAAAAGCGTTACTCCAATTGGAATCGGGAATTTGCCTCTTCGGAAACCGACTATCTCCCACTACAAGATTATGAAGCTATATATACCCGCGAGTAGGAAATTAAGTCATAATCTACAAAGCTCGGGTCTTGGTCTATGGGGACCGTTGCTCTAATGGGGCTTTATATCTTGAGGGAGGACAGGCAGCTGGGACGTGGGACGAACGAATAATGAGGTCACAACTGAGCATGTTGGGACTCACATTTTTCGAGTGTTTTCGACTTAAGAGTGTCTGTGGGTGCAGAGGCAACGATTTATGACAGTCCTACCGGCACTCTAAAAGCAGGCAACGATGGAAGGTTTTTTGGCCCGCCTCCTGGTCGTCATCTCCCCAAATTAAAGTCTGGATAGCCTGGACACATACCTTAATCGAGAAAGGGAGGACTGTGAGGCCATATCCCGCACGGCGGCTATATACAAGATGGCAAAGGCATGTTAGGGTAGCTAAAGGTTTTTCCTGTTTTCCCTTTGGTGGATATTAACAGTTGAGGGAAGGGTGAAAGTACCTGGCACCAAGGTCTCAAGTGGTATCAGCGAATTCACCCACTACATGAGTAGTCCAAATATTAAACTGAGTTATCGTCGTATATAGTCGCCGGAGAAGCTAGTCTTCTCCGTGTCATGCTCTTTGAGTGCAGGGCTTGTGCCCGTCACGAATAAACTTTCATTCATTCATACATAGACCAGCCTCCCAACTATCTAGCACAAACAAGTGAATCGTGTCCTTCACTTAGATGAAGTAATTAGTTTAAATAGTGCTCTGATACTAAGTGGGTTCAACCAACAACTCTTCACTATTTTTCACAATCTTCAATGTCCCAACTCGCTTCACTAGGCGATATTAGACACAAGTCTAACAGCTTAAGCTTCTCTAAACAACTTCCATTACAACAGATAGCTGAACATATATGAAATATTTTTGAAAAAAAAAAGTAAAGCGCAACCTACTTTTGTATATACACCGACCTATCTGGCAATTCTTCCTACTTACTAGAAGACGACAACTGTTGGTACAATACGGTATACGCGCGTAAATATAAGGCAATAAAATAGATTCAATAAAACGATACAATAACATTCACATATAATTCATTTTATCTGTCTATTCTAACCTTTTGGTATCATGTAAGAAAGCCAAGAGAATATTACGTAAGTTGCACAACTGTTACAATAGGTTAATACATATTCCACCTATTATTAGAGTGTACATGACCACTGTTACTGCTCTTCCTTTACGTTGAATCATTTATTCTGTACTTTTCTTTGATAGTGTGTCATAGCTAGATAGCTGCATACGCAATTAAAATCTGATGCAAACCAAAAAAAAAGACCACTGTTCCAACAACAACCTTTTGGAAAATTGTGGCTCCCTGCTCTATCCGAGGCCCACAATACTCGTCCAATTTCGGGCAGCTAAACACCATCAAGTCTCTCCGCTGCGTAATAAGGAAGGACGAATAAGCTCATCCAATGTAGACCGGGCCTGAAGCTTCAAAGGTCTTGATTCGCGAAGTTGACGGCCTTATAAACAGCAATTTCAATCAGTGAATCCACGTGCCTTACAAATGTTTTCAAGCCGTAGAGTATACTATTAGATGTCGCTTTCATAATGTGCTACTTTTGCCGTATAAGCATGCGTGGAATCGTCTTGCTAGATTCCGAATTGGGAGAGGGCGTGGAAACTTAGGCTACAAATCCTATTACTGGCGGCCGGTAGTGTCTATTACTAGTATACTAAGTGTACAGTGCTTGAATTATCCAATCCTGGAATCGGGCTTGTATTGATTTTATTACCCAATTTTGCCGCCTTATTGGCCCATAGATGTGGCTACAAGCCCTATATATACACTAGGATCTCTCACATATATTTCCCAAGCTGTCTGTTACGTTTTTTGTTCGTTCTTCAAGAGGTACGGTTAAATGATAATTATAGTTATTGAATCAATCGCATCTCCTCTACTGACCCCAAGTACTAAATGTCCTCATTCTTTCCTGCAACGGCATTTCGACCGCCTATTCCATCTTCAATTGCTCTATCCAAGTATGTCTAAGGTCCAATGAGCGGCTTTTTTTATGTCAGCAAGATTGCTTGCCACTGCTTCAAAGGAATAATCCTTAGATTTTCTCCGGATCACTCTTCTGCTATTGATTATCGGGTAAATACTGAGCTGAATAGCTATTCATCACGGGCAATAGATCAATAATCTTTTCCTATTAGTCATGATAGCCATAATGCTTCGCTCCCTCTCTCTTCACGTCTCGCTTGTCCTAACCTCCTGGCACCTCATCAAATCAGCCCACGACAGATGTTCGCTATTAAGTATCCTTTTACTATACTTAATGCCCTAGTAATCTCTGGAATAGCTTCTGCAGACGGCGATTTTGGTATAATCCTGTACCCGCCCTGAAAAAAGAAATATCTACTATCATTATTTAGTTCAGGCAGGCAGTGATTCTGTCATAGCTAGTTAGGCTGCATATACTTAATGAATTAAAAAAAAGCAGTAATTCCATGTACAAAAAGATGAACACTTACTATATATGTCAGGAACTGAGGATAGAGGTTACCGGGATACAATGGTTACCATGGGTTACTAGTTGAGTAATCAGGTAGTAGATGGTGGACCCTATGAGACCTAGGTTGCTCTGGTTACTATGATGCATATATTGATTGGACAGAGCCGCAGGAAAGGGCCACGACTTGTCTACCGTCTTCCACTAGCCTTGTCTCCTACCCTAGATTCCCTCGTCCTTAGTTTGAGTAACACTTTGGCATTTATACCTTTGACTCTTGCCAACCACCTCAGATATTACCCAAGTTACTCAGTAACCCTCCCGACGCTACCTTTGGCACCCTCGAGTTTGAAAATGTAGATGATATTTCCAATTAAGAAAATTGCACCTTTGGGGCACTCTCGATACTCAAGATGCCCTATGTGATAATTACGGTAATGTGTGGCGGTCTCTCTCTTGCAGGCTAGGATTCGAATGTGGAACTACGGTAATTGCTCTGGACCAAGACTTTTCTGGTATCCTTTTGCGAGCTTCGGTCCATCCTACGGCATATATATGTAGGAGTAAAAAGGACGTTAGGAAGATTTAGAGACGTTCTCAAGTAGATACTGGTTGGCTGTGGCTGCCCGGCCGGTCTCTTCGAGCCCTTCAAAAGGATAGCCATATTTTTGAACTTATTCTTGATGTCGCTTTTAAAGGAAGCCCGCATCCAATGGCTTTGAGGACTTTTCCCTGCAATTACACGCCCACAGATGACCATAATCTACTTGACTGGAGAGGGCAGATAGCTGCGGGAGAGGGTTCTTCTCCGTATATAAAAGAATGAAGACTTGTGATAGCGTCACAGCTGGCAAGAAGTCGTGATAGATGCAAAGAAACTAATCCAGGCATGGATACACTAGCCCTGTAGACTTTAAGGAACTACATGTCTTTCTGTAGTCATAGATAAAAGAGGGCAATGAACACAAAAGAAACGAGGAAACAGATGTGGAACTATTTTGTATGAGTTTTTAACAATTTTAAAATCCAAAAAAGTCTGATAATTTTGTATTTATACAACCTTACACAGTTCTCCCAAAAAGATTGTACAGGTCGTTATCATATGTGCTTCTTCTTGCTAATCTTAAGGTTGAGATAACTGAAAAACTAGTTGCATCACGCGATAAAGGGCATAATATGTTAATTCAGTATAAGAACACCTCAGTGTTTTTCCAATTTCTTGCACCGTGAAAAATTTACGTTCTACATAATAATTTGCGTACCAGCAAGTCCTCAAAAGACCAGAATTGAAGCTTCTGCCCAATTTTTTAACTAAACACATGTCTGAAGTAGAAAAAAGGAAACCATGGATTTACAAAAATTATTTTACCTAAAATGTGGCTACTGCAATAGCGATTGCTTGCGTTTCAGAATGAGATATTGAGATACTAATTTCCCGAACTCCTGCGGTTTTAGCTGATTTGGCTGCCTCGCCATGAAGCTGTTGTCTTGTTAGCAAGAATCGAGTTTAGTCATAAGATGACCTACTTTAGCAATTGGAGCACCTTTTTCATTGTTAATTATTTCGATATCTTTCAATGGAGCACCTGCGCCTTTGCTCCTAACTCCTAAACTTTTAAAGACTGCTTCCTTGGCACTCCATTTTCCAGCATATGAAGACCTTGGATGTGGTGCTTGTGAACAGTAGGCCCGTTCTTTTTCAGAGAAATTTCGTTCCAAAAAAGTCTCGTTATCTATATTGAAGGATGATATATCCTCAACATCAACACCAACTCGATTATTTGGAGATGCTGCACCTTTCGCCAATGACTCGACTAATTGTTTAGTGCTCTCTTTTTTCGATGCCGTCGGCCCAGTATTTTTAGAAAAATTGCTCGCATATGTAAGTAAGGATGACTTAGGGTCTGGTGTTACACGGGCATCTGGATTGAGGAAGACGGCGCATTCCTGATCATCGGTGTAGGGAGACTTGTCTTTGGCTACAAACAAGCAATTATTGATCATCCCGTTGTGGAAGTATCTATATGCTTTTTTTTGTCTAGCCTGTACCTTTGCCGAGTAAGATTTATACGTTGCTTCATCAAGAGTTGCGAATAGATATCTAGGGTGTATTCCAATTGCTTGAGCACCTTTTTGGCCGAAGCCAAACGACGTAACTGAAAAAGCTTTTATACCATCCGTCTGTAAACTTCGGCTGGGATAAACAATATAGTCAAATTGCTCCATAACGGAATCAACGTTGTCAGCATTCCTGTTGCCAGGGACTAAGCCTGAATTGAGAACTTGCAGACACCCATTCATCATCCAAGCGCCAGCGGCACCCTTTGGGTGGCCCGTGAGATATTTTTGGAAAATACCGAGGACAGCGTTGCCTTTCTTACGTCCTAGGTGCTTCAATTGTGAGCAAATAACTGATGATTCATTTTTGTCGTTGGCAACAGTGGAAGTTCCGTGGAACGAGGCGACATCGAGATCATCAATAGTTAAGCCCCATGTTGCCAGGGCACCTCGAAGAGGTGCAATTTTTGGATCGTTCTTCCAGAAATTATTACCAAGACTGTTCAACACTTCACGTTCCTGGCGATTAGCTTCTCGCTCGATGTGCAGAGCTCTTTCTTGCGCATATTCGCCTTCGTTAAATGATAGGCCTTGCGATTTCATAGCTTCTATTTCTTCATGGAGATACGCTAACTCTGACTCCTGCCACTGTTTGATATTTTTCTTCCTCAATTCAATCTGTCGGCGGCGGTATTTGATGTCTAAGAGAGGTGATGGGAACTTTCCAGGGTTTTCACGGGCTGTTGTCAAGACACCTTTTCCGGGAGCCGGAACAGATCTTCCTATCTTATCTGTTGCGGTAGTGGTTAGACCGAGAATGCCGTAGATAGGAACTCCCATGTCAAGTGCTAGTTTGGCAGTCATTATAACCTGAATTCCACATCCTTGTGACTCCATGAAACCATTTCTAGTCGTAGTGGTAGGCCTCGACATTTCTTTAGGCGTTCTTCCATGTGCAAATTCATCAACAGCGTTACTGGTAGCTTTCATGTTGGCAAACTCATACGAACCTTCTTCTTGGAAATCATCAAAGCCGCCAACGAAGCACACACGAGCTTTTCCCTCTAGAATTGTTTCGTATCCAATATCTACCGATTCGACTGCAGTTGCGCAAGCACCAACGGGAGTCTTGATAGGACCAGTTGAAGAAATCAGCAACATATTTACCCAGGCACTCATGGTGTTGATGAAAGACTCTTGGAGGATATCTTTTTGGAGAGGTCTATCCAAGTAGCGATCTTTGTACATTCCCTTGAGCGCAGATGTCCCACCAATTCCAGAGCCAATGCAATTGCCTACCTCAGAAAGGTGAACATACTTGTAAAACTCATAGGGGTCAGTAATTCCTGAAGCCAAAAGCGACTCCACAGTGCAGACAAGAACGAACAGAGTCACTGGATCAACCTGAGATATGATGTCGTCGGGTATTCCATATTGTTTGGCATTCCATCCGGTAGGGATCTGACCAGCAACAAGGCGATCAAATTTTAAGGCTTTAGGAATCAAGAGAGTGGCGCCTTTTTTCATACGAACAATATATTCGCCCGTCTCTGCGATTTCAAAAATCTCAGCTTGGTCGCCGTGTTCTCGCTTGAATTCCTCTGCTGTTTCTTTGGAGGCCTCAAAAGGTTCTAGATCTTCTTGAATCACAACTTCTTGTAATAGCTGTTTCTTGTTGGGATCATATCCCCGGAATAGTTCAGGTTCAATAAGCCGAATACCAGAATGCTCCAGTATATACTTTTCGTATTTGCTTTTAACATCTTTATCATCGACTGGTTCGCCTGTCTTTGAGTCTACCCATCCAGAATATTGCTTTCCTTTGATAGAGCCGTTAAAGTTTTTGATTAATCCCATCACCCAAGCCATTTCGACACATCCTTCTAGAGAAAATTGGCCGTATGCTTCCATCTCCCATCTGGTACGTGAATTTCCCCATGGGCCAAGCTCAGCAAATCCTGTGACAACGACAACCTTTTCAAGATCGACCATACCCTTTAAGTTCTCATTAAGAGGCGCGATGTCTTTCTCCCAATCAGGTAAGTGAGGAAAATCGAACTTAATGTTGGCTCTAGGCTCAATCATGACTTTTTTGTATAAAGCCTCGCTATCTTCACCGTTGACAATCTTGTTCTCGATGGAAGTCTCTTTGGTAACTGCCTGTCTAACCTCACTGGTTTCCATGATGTCTTTTCGTAGTTTCGACATTAGGTCTTTTAGATCCGGAATAAACTGTAGCCCACCATTGAGATCTGCAAACACAGGTTCTGATTGACACAAGTCAACGATGTTTGGTGACATTAAGCCGAGGAGATTGAAGGCCATTTCTTGTTGGGAGAAAGTTCTGACACCATAAGCCTCGACCCCTTCTGCAACGATATTATTTCCGGACATGAGACCGGTGCCTCGAGTCCATCCAATCACTGCTCCACAGATGGTAAGAAAGTTTCCCCAGCTCTCCGAATGCCAGCGGTTAAACAGAGTCTCAAGTGCTAGTTTGGATTCTGAATATAGACCATCATTTCCAAATGTACCATGGTTTGGAGAGAGAGGCAAGACAACTTGTGCAGGTCTTGTCTCGAATCCCCGACTTAGTTTTTGAGCCTTGACGCATCCGAGTAATCGTAATAGATTGGTAAGCATAATTCTGTGAGCGAGTTCAGACTTAGAGTCGATGTTGTCAATTTCTCGTCCATTTTCTGGAATTGCAGCGAAAGGAATAACGAAGTCAAGATCCCATCCAAGTCCACTTTTTGTGTCATAAATGTAATCAATTAGTGCTTGAACGTCTTGCTTGCTACCTTGATTGAAAGGTACTACGATCAATTGAGAGCCTTTGGATCCATAGCGAGCGTACATCGATTGGTAATACTCTGTCACTTCGCGAGAAAAGCGGCTGGTAGTGACTATAACCTTAGCTCCACCGCTAATTAAGCCTTGGAGAACCTCGGCTCCAATAGATCCAGCTCCCGCACCGGTCATGAGGGCATTCTTCCCTTGGAATGTGACGCCAAGTTTTGCAGTTTGCGACAAAACATCTAGGTAAAGCCCGGTAAGTTTTTTACTATATTCCCAGCCGTGTTGGTTCTTTCTTTTCAAGTGCAAAAAGGGTATAGTCTCAACTTTTCCAAGCTTATTCCGCGATGTTTTTTGAAAGGTTGAATTGCTGTTAGTGGATCCATTCTCCTTTGGTATTATTTGACCTTCACTCATTGCTAAAGAGCGGATAACATCGCCATAAAGTTGTTTGATTTGCAGATGGGATGACTTTGATAGTTTGTGCTGTTGTTGGATAAGCTTGTAGATTCGGGTTAGATCACTTTGAACTTTTGTCCGATTTCCATATTCAGAAATCTTTCCCCCATCGGCCATCTCCCGGACGTAATGCTCGAGCTTCCGTACACTATTCCTTGGAATTTCAGTGTAACTAAGTTTTCCCCGTCCATCGATGGTTGTATGGGGCCCAGTTGGAAGAGAAACATCTTTGTATGAGGGCGCGGTTTCTAAAACGTCTTTGCAGTTATCAATTAATTGTTGTCCGAGTTCTTTGGCCAATTGGTATGTCTCGCCTCGCTCCGTTGGACAATTGTCGATATGGTACTGCATAAACTCTAGAAGTGTCGGATTTGAACGATTCATGATGCGTATACACTGGCTCACTATTTCACGGTCGACTGCCTTCAACCGTCCGAAAATGATGTCATAGTACATTGATAGAGCGTCTTGACGCACCCAGTTCCAAGATGAATCGTATGTTCTAGCTTTGAGGGGACTGAAAACTGGCTCGATTCCAGATGCATAGATATCTCCATGTTCGACGTTCCAAAGGTCGAGCTGCGCCTGTAAAGCGGCTGTTGAATTTTGGGTGCCAATGAAGGCTTTCTCGCCAGCTCGAAGATCAATTTTCAAGTATCGGGCAAACAACTCTAACTGTTGTTTGAACAGAGCGCGCTGATCTTTGGTTAAAGCATCTAAGGCTGCAGGATCAATCATCATACCAGCCCCACCAGGGCCTGAGTCCCCCCCTGAAGCAGGTGTTGTTATATCAATACCTGTGTTTGAAGCGTACTTTAAGGCTACATCGTCTAGAAATGATTTCGCTTCGGATTCGGCACTCAATCGAGCAGTTGGCTCCATAGTTATTGCCAAGAGTAACACACCATCCTGTCTTCCGGAGCTCAATCCCCAACGACTTTCTAAATATTTTCTTGCGGATGTAAGATTAAATCCACCAGGCATTTTGGAAGATATAAGACGTGCAATGAGCGAGGAAGACTGTTTTCCAAGTTGTCCATCAAATGTGGCTTGCATAGAAGCACTCAACTCGTCCAGAGGTGTATCTTCTGGCTTTTCGGGTGTCGACCCAAATTCCTTGCCAAGGTCGCCAAGAATCTCGTTTTGGAGCGTCGATTTTCCTATTTTTTATCAATACGGTGAAAATAAGTATTGGCATAAACTTACCACCAACAAGATCTTTTATAGCTTTGTTGAGAGGGATGTCAAGTAACGGCTTCTTAAGCTTTTGTGCGATTAGGGAGCGCACAATGTCAAGTGCAGCAACTGGGGCATCAGGCACTTGTGCTGCAGGCCCAGCGTTGGCCGCAGGGCTGGGAGAAGGATTAGATACGGTTGAGGAGTTGGGATTAGCAGGAGTCGTTTTTGGAACTGTCGTCGAAGGCGCAAGAGCAGTGTCGGTAGGATGTTCTTCGTTATCGACCGGGTCGACGTCATAGTATATCTCCTTAGCATCCTTATTATAACAGAGGATTTGCCTTTGGACAGATTTTGCAGCGTCGTATGTCTCGTACTTGGATGAGAGAGTTCTTTTCGCCATAACACCTAAAGTATCTGCCGGACCAATCTCCACGATTCTCTCTGTTGTCTTTTCTGCAAGAATTACATCTTGGGTTTCGATCCATCTTACAGGTGATGCGAATTGGTATGCCAAAAGCTCGACAAGAAGGGTATGGGCGAGCTCTTGCTCAATCTCAGGTCGCATCTTGAGAGTGTTGTCTGACACCACTTTGGTAAAATTTTAAATTCTGTCGACCTTTTGACTTTCGAGTCAAACTAACGGCTCAAGCCTCGATAACAACCTAATAATTAAATGGCTATTCTTAAACGGCTGATATGAATATGATGGTGCAGGTGATAGAAGATATAAGTTACAAGTTAAATGAGAGAAGTTTGTTAGTATGAACAGGTTGTGAAGTGCAGCAAATAATGTCACTGTGAGCAGTAACTAATTTGCTAGGATGCATTGGCGGCAGCATAGAATCAGCATCCTTGTTTGTTGAACGGGGGAGATGTAAATCCCCAACAGTATAGGTCGGTGCACCATTAACCATACACGGGCTCAGCCTTGCTTAATCTCACCCGTTTCCCTGTCGTACCCTTGATGGGGGCCCACTTGATTGTCAGAATTTAATGGGTTGCATTTTGTAGCTATGTAGTGTCAAACGAGTTGTTTAGCTCAGTCATAAAATTTAAGTAAGCTGCGTTTGACAAACAGTTCAGATCGTCCCCCCTTAAAGAAAATGGCATTCTGGTGTCCTGACCTGGGCCAAGTCGGCGAAGGCAATGTAGGCACTTTCTTCATATAGATCGAATACACCCATGCCAACTCTACAGCATCCACCTGATACAGCCCCCCCTCACAGATCCCAATTAGCTCATACACTTAGACCCCTTTATTGTACCCGTGTAGTCTGCTAGTATAAGTCCGTCAGATGTTTATGAAAATATAATGTCGCGTTTGGATCTTCTGAGCAGTTTGTTATGTTAAACAGTACGAAATGCATGTCAAATTCTAGTAACAGCCTGTAAGTACTATTCATAAAATTTGCTACAAACTTGAAAGCATTTAAATCTGATCGCGCCAATCGGCATCGGGTCAAAGGCCAAGACCGTCAGAAGTGAGGCTGAAATTTTCTATGACGCTCAGTAGCCGTAAACGCTATTTCCAGCTAGACTTGCCTTGTTGACGGGTTTAAAGCCACACGACGTGAACAGGATTTCGACCAACCAATTTTAACTGTGGCGCAGTGGTCTACCCAACATTTTGATCTAGCTGGGGCTTTGTATATAGCTGCCCCTGCAATCGTTGAGAAGGGCCAGGATACGAATTTCGACAATCTCATGGCGACAGTAGCCTACAGTTGATATTATTTTACCAAATCTTCTTCCCCTTAATCTCTTCATTATTTCTCACATATCAATCCATACCCATTCAGCCTGTCATTTCAAAACTTGACCCTCACTGTATTCTCATCGTTTAGTGGCGGTAAAAATATTTCGTCAAGGAGTTCAATCCAGATATCCAATTTATTTCAAGTCACAAGCTCTGACTGCTCTTAATTGAGTCTCTGGAGCGCTCTATCAAGGTCAGTCAACCATGCAAATATTTCAGTCTGAATTACGAAAAATTATTAACTGAGTATCGAAGGCCATATTTGTTCAATATATAAGACTGAGGATGGAAGGTTCAACAAACGGCCCACATACGGGCGTGAACACACCGCGGTTAGCATCCTCCGTTCGGCCTCTCACACTTAATCACGGAAGTCTTGAACATACTATCCTTTTACCTACCAACCTTCATTACCATGCATCTCAAACAAAAGAAAGCTTCCTGGCCACACTTCCACCCCAGACCGAAGATTTTGCCCATGACGACGAGCCATCCTCAGAAGCAGAACTTGTTGCACGATACATGGGATACTTGGCAAGGGAAGTAGAAAATGGAGAAGATGATGCCCAGGGCTCGTCCGCCAATGTCTTGAAGCTTGTCCTCAACGAATTCGAGCGCGCATTCCTCGGCGGAAACGAAGTACACGCCCTTGTATCACGTTTACCTGGTATTCAGAAAAAAAAGTTAGAAGTAATAAGATGTTTTTTCTCTGCCCGTAATGCTTCCGGACGTCCAATTAAAAATCACCAGTCTGCTCTATTTCGAGCTGCCACTGATAAGAAAGTAAAAATTTACAGTATTTTTGGCGGACAAGGAAACATTGAAGAATACTTCGAAGAGTTAAGAAGTATCCATAACACATATCCGGACCTAGTAGAAGGTCTAATTGCATCTGCTTCCGATCTACTTCAGGGATTATCAAGAGATCCTCGATCAGAAAAGTTATATTCAAAAGGATTGGACGTTCTTGGATGGCTGCAACATGCAGAGGGAACGCCTGATTTAGAGTACATGATATCAGCTCCCGTTAGTTTTCCACTCATCGGCTTAGTACAACTCGCACACTACACAGTTACCTGTAAAGTATTGGGAATCACCCCGGGTGAGTTACGGCAAAAAATTATCGGAACAACGGGACACTCGCAAGGTATCGTATTGGCTGCTACCATTTCCGCTGCGGATTCGTGGGATTCGTTTCAAAAAAGGTCAATTGATGCGCTCACCATCCTCTTCTGGATCGGAGCCAGGAGTCAACAAATTTACCCAAGGACGTCTCTAGCACCATCAATCTTGCAGGATTCAATCAGCCACGGCGAAGGCTCACCAACGCCAATGTTGAGCATCCGAGATCTATCGAGGGCGCAAGTTCAACAACACGTTGATGCCACAAATCAGTACCTTCCAGAAGACAGGCATATATCGATATCCTTAATTAACAGTGCGAACAATCTTGTTGTCACAGGGCCTCCCATTTCTCTTTACGGATTAAATTTACAACTTCGTAAAGTTAAGGCACCAACTGGTCTCGACCAAACACGTATCCCGTTCACAGAACGAAAAGTTCGATTTTCAAACAGATTTCTTTCTATCACTTCTCCATTTCATAGCAAATACTTAATTAATGCAACAAAATTGATTGATGAGGACTTAAAAAATGTGAACCTGGATAGCAAGAAACTTGTTATACCTGTATATGATACAAACACAGGAAAGGATATAAGGTTGTCGACTAGCGGAAACATTGTACCTACTCTTGTTAGACTAATCACTCAGGACGAAGTAAACTGGGAAAAAGCCACTGAGTTTCCACAGGCTACCCATGTCCTTGATTTTGGACCTGGCGGTGTGTCTGGCCTTGGCGTTTTGACAAGTCGTAATAAGGATGGCACTGGCGTTCGTGTCATTCTCGCAGGTGCAATAGATGGTACAGTGTCCGAAGTTGGATACAAAGATGAACTCTTCGATCGTGATGAGGACAACGCTGTCAAATTTGCCGTTGACTGGGTAAAGGAACATGGCCCACGATTAGTAAAAACATCCACAGGACGAACATTTGTCGATACTAAAATGAGTCGTATACTTGGGATTCCGCCTGTCATGGTTGCAGGCATGACGCCTTGCACCGTCAAGTGGGATTTTGTAGCTGCAACAATGAACGCAGGATACCAGATCGAACTCGCTGGTGGTGGATACTACAACGCCAAAAATATGACTGAAGCCCTGCGGAAAATCGAAAACTCCATCCCTGCTGGGCGCGGTATCTCTGTTAACCTTATTTACGTTAATCCTCGAGCTATGCAGTGGCAAATTCCCATGTTGGGCCAGCTTAGGGCGCAGGGTGTGCCCATTGAGGGTCTAACAATCGGTGCCGGAGTGCCATCAATTGAGATTGCTCAAGAGTACATCGAAACACTAGGTCTCAAGCATATATCATTTAAGCCTGGATCTGTAGACGCTATTCAATCTGTAATAAATATTGCCAAAGCTAACCCAAGTTTCCCGGTTATGCTACAATGGACCGGTGGTCGTGGTGGCGGGCACCACTCGTTTGAAGATTTTCATCAGCCAATCCTTCAAATGTACGGCCGAATTCGCAGATGTAATAATCTCATTCTTGTGGCTGGCAGTGGCTTTGGTGGTGCTGATGATACTTACCCTTACCTAACTGGTGCATGGTCGGCCAAATATGGGTACCCACCTATGCCTTTCGATGGTTGCTTATTCGGAAGTCGAGTAATGACAGCTAAAGAGGCACACACTAGCAAGAACGCGAAGAAAGCCATCACTGAAGCTGAGGGTCTCGACGATTCGGAATGGGAAAAAACCTACAAGGGACCAGCCGGAGGAGTTATCACAGTCAGGTCCGAAATGGGCGAACCAATACACAAGCTTGCGACTAGAGGTGTAAAATTCTGGGCTGAGATGGACGCAAAAATTTTCAGCCTTCCAAAAGAAAAGAGAGTCGCGGAACTGAAAAAGAATCGTGATTATATCATCAAGAAGTTAAATGATGACTTTCAGAAAGTTTGGTTCGGACGAAATAAAGAGGGCGACGCTGTTGACCTAGAAGATATGACCTACAGCGAAGTCGTATATCGCATGGTAGATCTTATGTACGTGAAGCATGAATCACGGTGGATCGACAAGTCTTACGAAAAACTGACCGGTGACTTTATACGACGCGTCGAAGAAAGATTTACATTGGATACAGGATGCACATCTTTGCTTCAAAATTATGCGGAATTAGATAATCCGTATCCTACCATTGATAACATTCTTTCTGCCTATCCGGAGGCTGCATCTCAACTTATCAATGCTCAGGATGTTCAGCATTTCCTACTTCTTTGCCAAAGGAGAGGACAAAAGCCAACAACTTTTGTTCCCACACTTGATGAAAACTTTGAATTCTTTTTTAAGAAAGATTCTTTGTGGCAATCCGAAGATCTTGAAGCTGTGATAGACCAAGATGTTGGACGAACATGTATTCTACAGGGACCCACTGCTGTAAAATATTCTTCTGTGGTCGACGAGCCTATCCAAGAAATCTTAGATGGGGTCCACAATGGACACATCAAGTCCCTCACCCGTGACTTTTACGATTCAAAGGAAGATCTAATACCCGTCGTTGAATACTTTGGAGGCAAAGCTGAAGGAAGTGAATCGGAACTTGATGTCGAAGGTTTGGTTGTTTCTCACAACGCAACGAAGTCAACTTATCGGCTCTCAATGTCACCATCTATAGCAATGCCCCCACTTGAAGAATGGTACTCTTTGCTTGCCGGACCCAAGAAATCATGGAGATACGCACTTTTTTCCTCAGAAGTTTTCGTACAGGGCAAAAAGTTCCAGACAAATCCAATGAAGCGAATATTTACTCCAGCCCGTGGATTACTTGTTGAAATATGTTATCCAAATGATCCGTCGAAGACGGTCATAACTGTGTTTGAGCAACCCAGACCCAACAAGCATATCAAGGTCATTGAAATCAACCTCTCTGGAAGAAATGAAATTTGTGTCGACATGATAAAAGATACCACTGCCATTGGTGCTTCAATATCTCTCCCATTAAAATTCACATATCATCCAGAAGCCGGCTATGCACCTATCCGTGAAGTCATGGCTGATAGGAACGACCGAATTAAAGAATTTTACTGGAAAGCTTGGTTCGGAAAAGAATCCATAGATCTTGATGCACCCGTGACAGGTAAATTCAACGGTGGAAAGTCAATTATCACATCAGAAGCAATCAATGATTTTGTACATGCTGTTGGAAACACTGGAGAAGCATTCGTTGATAGACCAGGTAAGGAAGTATTCGCGCCGATGGATTTTGCAATTGTCGTTGGATGGAAAGCCATCACGAAACCAATTTTTCCCCGAGCAATTGACGGAGATCTCCTGAAACTGGTACATTTATCAAATGGGTTTCGAATGTTACCTGGAGCTGAGCCATTGAAGAAAGGAGACGAAGTCGAGACATCTGCTCAGATAAACGCAGTCGTCATTCAAGATTCTGGGAAAATGGTTGAGGTTTGCGGTACAATATCTCGCGAAGGAAAACCTGTAATGGAAGTAACATCTCAATTTCTGTACCGTGGGACCTACACTGACTTCAGCAATACCTTTCAACGAAAGATTGAAACTCCCATGCAAATCCATCTAGCAACTTCCCGCGATGTAGCTGTGCTACGATCAAAAGAGTGGTTTTGCCTCGATGAGCCTGACCATGAGCTTCTCGGCCAGATATTAACCTTTCGCCTACAGAGTTTTGTCAGATTCAAGAACAAAACAATGTTCAGTAGCGTGGAGACAACAGGTCAAGTTCTCTTGGAGCTCCCAACAAAGGAGATCATACAAGTTGCCTCTGTAGAATATGAGGCCAGCGCCTCTTATGGTAATCCCGTTGTTGATTACTTACAAAGGCACGGCTCTTCTATTGAACAACCAGTCAACTTCGAGAACGCGATTCCTTTAAGCGGAAAGACCCCCCTAAAAATTAGAGCTCCTGCATCGAACGAGACATATGCCCGTGTCTCTGGCGATTATAACCCTATCCATGTCTCCCGCGTCTTTTCTAGCTATGCCGGTCTACCTGGAACCATCACCCATGGAATGTACTCAAGTGCAGCAGTCAGAAGCCTCGTTGAAACATGGGCTGCTGAAAACCACATAGGTCGTGTCAGAAGCTTTCATGCATCGCTTACAGGCATGGTACTTCCAAATGATGAGATCGACGTCAATCTTCAACATGTCGGTATGGTTGCAGGGAGGAAGATAATAAAAGTTGAGGCAAGCAACAAAGAGACAGAAGAAAAGGTGTTAATAGGAGAGGCTGAGGTCGAGCAACCTGTATCAGCATATGTTTTTACAGGACAGGGCTCCCAAGAGCAAGGTATGGGAATGGAACTTTATGCAAGCAGTGCTGTCGCGAAGGAAGTATGGGATAGGGCTGACAAGCATTTCATGGATAACTATGGTAGGTTACTCATATTTTCCCGAGACATTGCTCACGCGTTACAGGCTTTGCAATTACTAATATTGTCCGAAATAACCCCAAAGAACTTACTATTCATTTTGGTGGTCCTCGTGGTAAGGCTATTCGTCAGAACTACATGTCAATGACTTTTGAGACCGTTGGTGCCGATGGCTCTACCAAGTCAGAAAAAATATTCAAGGACATCAATGAAAATACTACTTCATATACTTACATGTCACCCACTGGCCTTCTCTCTGCGACCCAGTTCACTCAACCCGCGCTGACTTTGATGGAAAAAGCTAGTTTTGAGGATATGCGCTCCAAGGGCCTAGTTCAGCGTGATAGCAGCTTTGCGGGTCACTCACTCGGAGAGTACTCAGCGCTAGCAGCACTGGCCGATGTCATGCCAATTGAAAGTTTAGTTTCTGTTGTATTTTACAGAGGTCTTACGATGCAGGTTGCTGTCGAGCGGGATGAATCTGGCCGCTCGAATTATTCAATGTGTGCTGTTAACCCCTCGAGAATCTCAAAGACTTTTAACGAGCAAGCCCTCCAGTATGTTGTCGAGAATATTGCAGAGGAAACCGGCTGGCTTCTTGAGATTGTCAACTACAACATTGCTAACATGCAGTACGTCTGTGCCGGAGATCTTCGTGCTCTGGATACTTTAACCAGTGTAACGAATTATTTGAAAGCACAAAAAATTGATATTCAACAACTTATGCAAACTCTCTCGATTGAAGACGTAAAGGCTCACTTGGTGGAGATAATCAGCGAGTGTGCTAGTCAAACGAAATCCAAGCCCGCTCCAGTGGAGCTAGAGCGAGGCTTTGCGACGATACCCCTCAAAGGTATCGATGTCCCATTTCACTCGACATTCTTACGATCTGGCGTGAAACCATTCCGATCGTTTCTTCTCAAGAAAATTAACAAAACTACTATTGATCCCAGTAAACTGATTGGCAAATACATTCCGAACGTCACTGCAAGGCCCTTCGAATTATCCAAAGAGTACTTTGAGGATGTCTATCGTCTTACAAATAGCCCAAAGATAGGTGCGATATTGGCAAACTGGGAGAAGTATGAAGATGGAACTCCCACGTTGACAGGACCCCATGGAGTTGGTGTTAACGGTAGTCATTAAAGGGTATGGAGACAAATGTAGATATCATTTTGTGGGCGTCACGGTTGCCTGTCAAACTCAGGAAATGTTCTAGAAAGTTGAAGAGAAATTATGGCAACGGTTCCTTCCAATTCTTTGTAAATGGGTTGTTTTTACTATTACATGTAACAATTTCATTATCTTAATACAAACTTAGTGCAAATTGTTCAGCATTACTACCTCACCTGTATGATCTTAACAGGTGAAGTCTGTCGGCACTGCAGTGATCGGTATTCCTTACATTTCACCTAGTATCTACATCTTTTTCAATCAAAAATGACTTCCCCAATTAGCACCCAACGATGGTTAATCGCAGAGCTGTTATGTAATCAGATTAGAGTTAGACTGTAATTATGTAAATAATAATGAGCTAGGTCCTACCTTTTTAGTCGCATCAACCAAGCCATTAATATCTATCACATTTTACGGACATTCTGCATATGGATGACAGAGTCCAAACTTTTATCAGCGACTTCACAGGCCACAAAACTAAATCCTCACCATATGACAAGGTTCAACCAAATTTTGCATTGCAGGAGACATTGGTGTGAAGGAAAGAAACAGTAGCATAGAAGCGGAGTTGAATTATTACAAGTGGCCATGATTTGTAATTGGCAGTTGGAACATGCACTAAGATCAAGGTGTAGATTATTAGCAAAAGCCCTCGGACTCATGTTTCTCTTGTAAAAGCAAGTTGTACATAGATCCTCTCCACCTTAAACTCTTTTTTAGATCCGTAGTAAAACTATCCATCATAAGGTTTATGACCACGATCATTCATCCCCCAACAATTGGCCTGGGAGGTAAGTATACAAGATCTCCATGTAATTTAACTCCTTGTTTCCTAGAAAGCTAGATCTCAACTAGATCCACATAAATTTTGTAGGTATAATTTAGCAAATTTTAACTTTCAATGGCCTAACTACTTGCCGATTCAGTTTGTGGCCTCTTAATTTACGCCCATCACACCTTAAGTTTCCGTACGATGACAGAGATCGGAGCGCGCAAACCTAGTTAGACAGATCCTTCGTTAGGATGTAGCTCATATTAGGAAAGATCAAATGACGCCATGCTAAAGTTAGATACAATACTAATGGAGTGGAGTGGGATCTTTTTTGGAGGCAACTTTCATTGTAGAACAACTGAATAAATTTTCATATTTCCCAATGAGCTTTAAAGCTATTTATTTTTTATATTTATCCATTTATGTCCTATTTGTGTTTCTAACTACGTCCTTCATAGTCATGGGTATATCCGGCACTCAGATTGTGTTCTTTTTATCTTCATTTTCACTTTTTTTATAATAATAATTAACGTCGTCCCCAGGAGGGCAAGACTGAACACCTGTACGCGGTGTCCTCTACGAACCTGGGAGTGAAATATTCTCCCAGAGCCAAGTTCAGTCAAACTTCGCAATACCGAACAAGTTGGCCTACGAGGCAATGATTCAAATTACTCCACCATATCAATCTTTCACTCCCAACGAAATCGATTCCTACCTGAGCCTCATCAAGTTTACAAGTACGACCGAGTACATCCTCATTCCAATGACCATACCTCTTTTCGACTTTCTCTGGCCTTAGCTGGTCGCCAGATACACGCCCACGCCGATATTTACACCCGACGGGGGAAGCAAAGCGTGGCGCACAAATCTGGAAGACAATTCCTTGTGATGAATGTGAGAGGGATCAGGACAAGTTGATAAGATAATGCAAAGGATGGATACTGTCTCAACGGGCGTGGAATTTCGAATTTTGGCAAGGAGTTTTTACAAATTGAGCTCTGTGCGTGCCAAGTCATCGGCTGCGAGAGTGCCGGCGACACTATAAAAACTGCCATGGTTGGATGGAGCGGTGGTACATCTTCTTGGCCGGTCTGCCAAGTAGAGTCTGGATAGCTTGGACACATATCCCACTTGAGACAGTAGATCGCTGGTTCAAATCTGGCAAAACACATCCACTTTTCTCGCGGCGCTGGTATGCATGGATGACGAAGGCATGCTTGGATAATCAAAGGTTTTTAAATTCCCTTTGGTGGGTACTAACGGAGGAGAGTCGACTGTTTGTGTAAGCGAACATACCTCATAGTGGTATTTGCAAATGAAATCCAGAGTATGAGTGTCTCTAACGTCAAAAGAGTCATCCCACATGTATACATAGCGCCGGTCATGTGTCATAGCTAGATAGCTGAATACACATTAAATGATTTAAAAAAAAAAAAACAAAAAACGTCGTTCCCGTGCATGGCACGTGAGCTCCTCATGTACTGATCTGCCTTACGTAAATAATACTACCTGACGCCCGTCAAAGAATCTCGCCAGAACTTTCCGAGGACATCATCCCTCCACCGTGGTCGTCATCCCGTGAAGAAAAGCACATCGAAATTGGTGCAGTAGGTAGACTCCTGGGATCAAATCCCTTCAAACAGTGGCAGGCTACACGACCTACCCTTGACTTGTTCGCATTCTCAGACGGAGCTCTAATAGACGACCGAGCAGGTGCGGGCTATGTCGTCTACCAAGGTCTTATGCAGGAGATTGGGCGAGGATCACTCCCGCTCGGAAACTCGGCAGAAGTGCATGATACAAAAATCGCCGGGGCCACTGAAGGTCTTGCCGCAGCTCTTAGCAACCCACTGGCCTATTATGCCTCTAACGCTACTGTCTGCCTCGACAACCAGGAGTCTGCCATCCGTCTGCTCTTGGATACGCCCACAGCGTCCAGCTCGGCAGAAATACTAATCTTTCGCAAGCTCGCAATGAACTGGAAAAGAAGATCACGCGGTCAAAATACGACGCCTGGGAAAGTGGCTATCCAATGGTGCCCAGACCACGCAGGTATTCTCGGGAACGAAGCAGCCGACGCGCTTTCATAAGCTGCCTGTGCAGCTACAGCTCCACACTTAGAACTCTCCATTGCGAGGGCAAGGAGAGAAGTCAAAGCCCAGTACGAGGCTTAAGTCGCTCTATATTGGGCAGAAAATGCCCCTTCTAGATACAAAGAACTAGGAATTGGCCCTAATATGAAAATCACCGTTGAGCTCGCCCGTCTGGGGCGACGCGCATTAGGATATCTACTAGCTTCCCGGTCCGGTCATGGCGACTTCGCGGACTACCACTAACGTTTTCAGCATGAAAACGCCATTCTAACCTGCACATGCGGAGAAGAGAAGTCCCCTAACCACTTTTTCTATTGCCACCTTGGGCAATACCAAGCTCAGCTCCACAGGGCACAGAATTCTAACCCCAGCGTATCCTGGGCACTTGCTTCGGCGGAGGGAGTTGATGCATTCAATAATTGGGTGCGTGTCACAGATTTCTTCGAAAGGGCACAACGAACAGTCTGATTCGAACGAAATCACGATCTGATGTAAACAATCTTCTCCTTTTATTTTTTATTTTGTTTTGCAAAATCTTTTCTTGATTTTGTACCAACTGCATAGCATGAGATTCTTTGGACGGACGACCTTCACGTACACTATAATTTTCGAGCGCAGGATGATAAGATCCTGGCTATTGTTTGCTTTGTTGGGTCTGATTGGGCGCCACTACGTCGGGTAGTTTAATTTAGACTGGGCTAACCGATTCGTGAGGAGCTCACGTGCTGTGCGCGGGCACGACGTTAAACATTATAAATAAATAAAAAATACTATCCGACATACATCACGCGAAGAGGAAGTGGCAGAAAGGTAGCTCTAATGTAGAGATGAAAGAAGTTTATTGGCTATGAGTAGAGAGCTTCTAGAGGCGGACAGAGACTTTACGCTGACGTGCATATACCACATGTACTTACGCTATCGTATCTAGGGCCAGGTTCAGGCGAGGCCGTAACTACGTATTAAGCCGTCAAAACAAAGGCTAACCGACATGTTGGTGCTTAGATAGACCCAACTTAGCAAATGAAAATCAGGATCTTATCATCCTGCGCTCAAAGTTTGAATTATACATGATTATCGGCCTTCAGTCGACTCTTGCGATCTATGGATGGTATTAAATGGATAATAGAAAACAGTAAGATAAATATAAGTGAGTGAGTGAGTGATATTTATTGTACTACTTGAGTCTATGACTATCTAGCACATTAGGCTCCTTTCTGACCCAGGCCGCGCCTTGTACAGTGCTCCTATCCTCTTTTGTTACTTGAAAAATCGTCGATATAATGCCCGTAATGAATAGCCGTTCAGCTACCTTTTCCACGGAAACCTCTACCCAAAAAAAATAAAAACGGTAGCAATGGAAACTACAAGAGAAAGCTGCGCTACCTTCCACGCTACTATTAACATAAATTAGACGATGTGAATCTATTTTTTTCATCTTCTTTACCCTCATCCTGTCTATTCGCTTTCTGTGCTTCAACATGGCGGGTATGGGTAAATACAACGATTTCGACGCGTTGCAAAAAGCGACAACGGCCACCATGAACGAAGGCGGCGGAGCGCAGACAGTTCCAAAGGATAAGAACCTTGGAACCATCGGGAAACTATTAAGAAAGCTCAGATTAATCATGATGAGCGATATGAAGGGGGAGGTGTACTTATCATCCATTGAGGATGTTAACGAAGCCGTGAAGACTTTTAATTGCCGCAAGAAGGCCTAGACAGAAATGTCCCAGATCCTGTCTCCAATCGAGAATGGGATGACGGCGATCGAGGAGGTTGTAAAGAAGAGCTTCGTGGATCCTGTTCGCAATGCTGCTCCAGAAGTAGCACCTGGGATACCGACAAAAAGGACCTACACGTCGGTCGTAGCTCCAAAAATGACTAAAATAGCAGTACGCATTAGAATTGCTGGGGAAGACCTATTGCAGCCTCAAGAGCTGCTATTTGTGGCAAAATATCACATTCATGGTGCATACGCGATACGACAAATATGGAGCAACGACATTGAGATGTGTCTCCAGTCGGCGACCCATAGCTTTACTTTCCTCCCTGTGCAAAGGTCTCGAGAGGCTCATTGCTAAGCGAATTTCATACACCTCTCTCTCAAAGGAGGTTGTACCTCAGCAGCTTTTCGGTGCACTCCCTGATCGGTCTGCAAATGACCTTGTCGCGTGCGTCATTCATGATGTTGAACACGCCATATAGTGGAAGAAGAAAGCAGTTCTCGTCACCCTAGATGTCTAAGGGGCTTTTAACGCCGTACTCAACGGACGACTACTACAAAGTATGAGGAAAATGGGGTGGCTGGAATCATCCGTCGCCTGGATCATATTCTTCTCAGTAGGGCGATCTGCCAGCGTTCGTTACGACGATGGCGTAACAGATCCAATACTCCTACAGTGTGGACTCCCTCAAGGATCACCGCTGTCACCTATTCTTTTCCTACTCTACATGGCAGAAGTCGTGGGAGGAGGTGTCTGCAAATTTGGCTACGCGGATGATATTGCCATACGTAGTATAGAATCAACTGCTTACGAAGCAGTATTATCTGTCCAACGGGAGGTTGATTCAGTCCTCGGATGGGCGTCAGAGAACACCGTGACTTTTGATCCGGACATTGCCGAAGTGGTTTACTTTCTTAGCCCTAGAGCCAGAAGATGCGAGCTACTTACAATCAGAATCGGCACTCGCGAAATCCAAGGTTCAGAAGAGATTCGATGGCTTGGAGTGCACCTCGATCGTGGTCTTACATTCGTAAGTCATGTTGCCAAGTGGACCAATAAAACAATGCGCCTGGTACGACACTCTCGACGTCTTATTCGGTGCACCCAAGGACTACGGCTGAACTTATCACAGTCATTCGGATAGTAGTCCTTCCAATTGCGTTACATGCTGCAGATATCTGGTGCCCAGGGCCAACTAGGGAAACATATCGGGGTGTTACGCGAAACTCATACGGGAGACAGTGCAAGGCCATCGACCAAACTTCCGTGTCCGGAATATGTTCTGCCCTCCCAACCTGGCGCACTACGCCGATCACAGCTTTGAGAAGGGAGACCGGCATTCCACCAGCATATATTCTTCTCGAGGAACGCAGGCTCAAGACTGCCGCCCGAATCCGTAGACTGGATTTCTATCATCCGCTTTGACTTCGAGCCAAGGAATCCACCGATTACGCCCGTCAGCGCCTTGGCCTACGTACATGCAAAAAAAGCAGACTTGGCCTCAACCGGGTTCACGATTCGAGGGTCCAGAGAATGTTCCGAGTCTTACTAGATGCGGAACTACCCTCATCCCTTCGACCACAGGTACCATCTAAACCAAAAACTTGTTGGACAAGGAAAGAAGAAGTAGCTAATTTCATAACACAGTGACTTACGACCCTGCCATCCGACTGTCTATGCGCTTACAGCAATGGTTCTGGAGCGTTTACCGACTGTATCTCATGGGTCTTCGTGACCTTTGTTAGTGGAACTGGAACAGTTATTGAAAAAAGTGTCTCGGCAAAAATCCTGAATGCGGAAGTCTACGATGCGGAGGTTCACGGGGCTATGGCTGCCTTCGAGGAAATTATCACATGGAAACGAGATCGGGCACGAAGCGCCATCTACGTCCCACTCGAAAATTCCGGAGCAGTTCTGGCACTACTGACAGGATTGACTACCTCATCATCTTGGCGGGTTCAAAAGTTCTGGAAGATGACTGCGAGAGGAGCTGCACCCGTAAAAGTAAGATGGATCTCTGGAGACTCAGGGCTGTCAGGAAACTAGATAGCAGATAGGCTTGCTCGAAGAGAGCTCGACTCGCTAAATGACGCCAGGATGACGAATGATAGAATCACCCTTGTTTCGTTAGGACGTCTTGCTCGCCGACTGGCTAGGCAAATGGTGAGAGACTGGTGGCACTCAAATCGCCCCATACGCTATGCAAACCTTGACTAGAGATGCGGCGCAAGAAACCGCCAGAACAAGCGCTCCCAAGAGCGGTTTACGCTCGCTTGATCGCTGCCCGAATAGGACATGGTGACTTCGCAGTGTACCACCGCTGTTTCAATCATAAAATAGCCACACTTCACTGTGAGTGTTGTAGAGAAAAATTAGTCGGTCACCTTGTCCAGCGTAGAAAATCACTGGCGACTAAAAAGCAGAAAGCGGAGGGCACTTTCGCTGGTGTTCCTGCTCGACCCTTGAGAATAGCAGAGTCGGAATACTCCTACGGAGTAATTTAATCACAGGCTTGTTGCAACGAAATGGGTGGTTCTTAGTTGATTTCTATCCTCTCTCCCAAAGAAGAGACTATGTACATTTTCATTTATTATTTTCCGTTACGCCATACCCGATTAGGTAGCCCCACTAAGTTACCCTTGACATTGAATTTTGATTTTGATTTCAATTAACCCGATCAGGCACCCTATGGGTCCATGCAGGTGACTATCTGCATTATTTACAAAGGAGGAAACCAATTTGGTGGAAACCCCCTGATCCTGTCTTTTTATGTTCCTATCAATTTATTTGGTTTACCTTCAGGAAGTGCAGTGTACACTGTTCAGCCCGTGTGGATTCCGTCCTCTCCCCTTCCAGATCTATTTACTTTATCCGACATTGCTACCTCGACTTCTCCTGCAGGTCGAAGCTGTTTTATCCACCATTTGTTTAGTATCCACCGTGTAATTCTAGCCATGTCTTCTAGGCTGTCCATCATTGCTTCAAATGACCTGTCTTTGGCTTGTCGGAGAAAGTCGCCTCTTCCATTTGCCCACTGCGGACACGCCAACACCATATGCTTGACGTTTTGCGACGGATATCCACATTGACAGCTTGGCTCTTCTAGTCCGGGTACTTTTCTTCTGCTCAGGTAAAAATTGAGTCCGATATGCTCGCTCCTTAGCTGAATGGCGACACTGCTTTGGGCCCTGGTCAGGTTACGGTGGATTTTTAAGGATTTATCTTTGAAGTTCATTTTGGTGCTGCCTGTTTGTTTATCAGTAAATATATTTGCCGCTTTTCAATTTTCTGGATCGGCTGATGCTGGTCGGCCAGGGCACTGTTTCATGATCTGGCTTGTCCATGAATCCTTCCACTCCTGAAAAGCCGCTATCTTCCCAGCTTCTTTCAGCCTCCCCTTATCCTTTTCTCTTCCGCAAGTTCTTGTCCATTCGGCTATGTCTTTACTCTTGGTCAATGCATGCGGAGTTTCTCTCCCGTTTGCGGGCAGCTCTATCCTCTTACATGTCGATCGGATTGTCTCTTGAACTGGGAGTTCATCTGATAGTTCGGCATGCTGGACCCTCCTTTGTTTCAGGTATATCTCTATAGGGAGATCGGACGATTCGTGCTCTAGCACTCTGCTGCTAGTAGAATTGTAGGCACCTGCAACAATCTTTAAGCATTTTCTTTGAATACTTCTGAGGGGTTTCACTATCCTTTCAGGTATCTTTCTTTAACAAGAGAAGTTGAAATAGGAAATAGAGTCAACCGAGTCCCTCTATCTGTAAATTATGTTTCGTCAAGTTTTCCACTTTTCTTGACCGCTCGTTTAGTAAAAGATCTTGGTAATTCTTTTTCTCCACACTTTTGATTTTAAATTGCCTTCAATTAAATTGCGACTAATTCTTCATGGAATAGGATCACCGACCATGCACGGTTTCATCTGCCATTGAATTTTCTACCTCTAACTCTTATCCTTGTACCCGTCATATGATTGCTCCCCACCCTAGCATAACCTGTGTCCTGAAGGATAGTGATGTTTTTGTTCCACCGTCAATTGTTCATGACATGGAAGTGTTTTAATTACCCAGCATTACTCGTTACCAAATCTACTGAAAATCTAATATCAAAGATACAAAATGATCCGCAATTCCTACAGCGAAGTCATGTGCGATGCAACATCTTACCTGATTAGCTCGATGCCATTCACACTTCCACCCAGTCCGAATGTTTAATCTGAAAACCCAAGCGCAAGCACACCCTTAAGTTTGATCAAGTATCACGAAGCCTTGCTGCATTTCCAGGGATAAAAATTATGTGGTAGGCTGTCCTGAAATCCAAGCAAAGATGAAAATAAGACGTCAATATACAAATTTCGGGGCCACGACAACCTTATTTACCTACGCTCTAGCTATTCCAGACAGTAAGACTTGGTTTCACTGCCGTAAAATAACAATAATACCTAAAGCCGTTGAAGACGCAAGAATTTGTGCTTGCAACAACCTCCTTCATCCAGATTGGTCCAGCAGATTCCCAGCTACGTTGGATGGCTCGGAATTGTACAAAATAAAAGACACCACTCTCTTTACTTGGCCGCTTGCTTGGGAGTCTAACCGTAATTTCGAGAAAGGTAACTGTTGATCATCTTCATTATCTAAACAAAAGTAGTGTAGACTTCAAATAGCAAGCATTTAACAATTCTCCAGGCAGTGAGGGAATTCAACGGGTTGTTATAGATTCGACGTGTAAACTTATCGGTGTCGTCGATAAAATCGGAGATTCTTACAAAAAGTGTCTCCAGGTTCTAGATCCTCGTACTAGCCCACCCCTCATACTTGACCTCAGCCTCGGAAATCCACTCAAGCACTATGGCTTTGATTGTAATCGATACAAATTTGTTGACGAAAAATTACACGCAGCCTACATTTATCTCCACCAACATCTAGAAAACCATGATATTTCAGACCATTACTTGGCCACTCAAAAGCTCCTTAAAAGACACAAGTTGCAGGAATTCGGTGGCAAAACAGTTTTTTCATGGCCTATTGGAGTTAACGGGGAAAATCAATCATTCAGGAGTATGTATAAAACCTAGATTGTCTAATTCTGATAATGACCTACGAAATGAATAGATTCTAAATCAAAACGATATCGTGTTGTATTAGATCTATCGGGAAATCACAGGGGAATGATATACAGCTTTAAAGGTATCTGGAAACCTTGCCTCAAGCTTCAGTATATTGAGCCAGAACCGCCAAGATCATTGAGCAAATACGAAACCTCTGTTGGGGAAGCTATCTTCGAGAATATCAGTGCATTCAGGTGTGAAGATTACATTTATACAGCAATTACAATAAATAGCCACATGCAAATAGCCTGTAGTCAATTCAAAAAGCTGGGCCATCTGGGAAGTACCAATAAACTACATTATCCTTCATCTTTACATATCAAACTGAAATCAACGTGGTTCTGGCCTCTTAGACGGCCAGAGCTTTCTGTCGGTCAAGATAGTAAGAATCTCCAAAACTTTTGGTTAAATAAACTGACTATATTGACTTCTGAAAAGGGAATGTGAAGCAACACTCGATTCTGCTGGGAAGAAACTGCGAATTTTTAGGTGCATACTATCTCACGAACGCCAATCAATTAGCATGTCAAAAACTGCCGACACCTATGCCATTAATAGGATTATGACTTTAATTAAAAATTCTACGGTAATTTTTGAAGGAGTAACAACCAAGCTATTTCCCCAAAGATACGGAATTCTTAATAGAATGCTATTAAACAAAATCCTCTCGTACAGTGCTGGAGTACGCCGATCAGGTGATAAAAAGTGGCACGTGCTCATGCGACACGGTAAATCTTTCTGTACCTGTGTACCTGATCTATATTAAAGATTTCTTATTATGTATATATTTATCTGGCTAATATGCATGATAAATATCATGAATATTTGTTTGTTGAGACTTTTGACATCAGATCCTTACTATAGATTATATTCGCAACACTACTGAGGTATGTTTGTTAACGAATGATGTAGGTTTCACAGAGTATAGTTTTTTCATTTACGTGCTAGGTAAAGTGATTCCCGTTGCACTCCTACTGGAGCTTAAGCACGGGTGGGGCCGGGCTGGATCAGGTTAACTACCATTAAGTACATCTACCTCGTCCCACCTAAATGACCGGACCACCTCAAACTTCACCCATGTATTGAATCATACCAAGCCTAACCGTCCAGAAACCCGCTGTATACACGCCGTAGCGCAATTTCCTCCTCAGCCTCGGCCACCACGCGCCCGAGCCCTTGACACCTTCGCCGTCTGTAACCTTTCCCTTCGATTCATTCGCAGCTTTGGCTCATCTCAGCATCTCATCCAGGGGTCGTTTTCTTCACTGGAGGCCTCCTCCGTTTGTATCCCCTTTTAGTTCCTTCATACAGCATCCCTCTGTCCTTCAGCCGATCTCGTCATCCCAAAAACTTTGTAGAATATCCACCCCTCCGGCCTTGCCCCGTCGCTGCCGTACCCCTAAACGTGGAGGTCGAAAACGCGACTGAGAGCTCAAGATCGAGGCACCGGCGCCCCAGCCTTTTTCGAACGCTCTAGTTAGTGTACCGGCGAAATGTCGTACGTATTTCGTCGGTGGCGATTTGTCGCAGGTCGAATTGTTGGTGCCCTTGGCCGAGGTGAGGACGCATTTAAGGCCGGTATTTCGACCGTACCTTCACAGTGGCTGGCAGTTGCGGAGGGTCGGAAATCCTCTTGCTTCTTAGTTGGCGATTTGCCTTTTGGAGGTATGGGATTGCTTAGGTAGATGGTGAGATGATTGTTGATAGGGCCGCGAGATGAGTTTGGCTAGGAGTGATTTTCCAGAGAAATAGAAAGAAGATGTTGAAGGTGTTGGTTTTTGTAATACGAACATCAGACAGGTTATAGGCTGTCTGCGGTTCGTATCTGGGGTGTAGATGTTTGATTTCGTTGAGTTGTGCAGTCGTGAAATCTCTGCAAGTCGGATTTTCGACCAAAAATGAGCCAACACCACTCCTCCCGATCGCCAACTCGACGAAAACTCTCAAATTAACCCTATGTCCTGACTGAATCTCGGCTCTGGGAGAACATTTAACTCCCAGGTTCGTAGAGGACACCATTGAAAGGTGTTCAGCCTTCGTCCTCCCATAGGGTGTAGGAAACAGTACTGATTATTTAGGTAAATGTGTAGAACTATCTATCTGTGTTTTAGGAGGTACTACAAGGCTCAAAAAGTAGCCTCGCTTACTAAGGTGGCACTGATATCCTCACATGCTCCCCTCACCGAGGTAGTTTATTCGTTACCACACAAGGTAGCCTGTTAAAAATCGTTACGGACTTACAGGTGGAAATATCTTCAAGTATGAGTATTAATTTTTGGACAGGATTTCTGTTGGTAGTTGAATGGGATATCAAACTCACTTCTCAATGCAATTTAACAACTTGTAATATTCCCTTAACTTAGCTTAACACAAACAAATGAGTCTATCATTAAATACAAATTAGATTAGATTTTATTATAGTCCTATCTGAGTCTACGACTATAGAGGACTTCTAGCTTCTAAATGAAAAGACTAACAAATTTTGATAAATTCAACCATTTTAATTCCCAACATTTTCTTATAGATAGTGAGGAACAAGTCCTAATAACGTTATAAAATACAAATTTCCAAGGCTTTGGTGACTCAAAGCCTCCAGTCAGCTAGGAACATCCTTCCACTTAACTATCGCACGGCAGCATTTTCTAGCCAGTGAAGTTCGGATACCACTTAATCCAATGTCGCCTAATAAAGTTTAATCATTTGCAATCGAATCAATAGAACTGATCTGGATGAACACACAGAGATCTAAATCTTCATGCATACAACATCTAGATTTCGAGCACAGTCGACCTTCGTTCATGATTACGTAATGGGAATTTCAAGCCGTTTAGCTATCCAAGCATGCTTTATCATACTGCAAACGAGCATCGTTAGAAATGTGGACGAGATTTGCTGGATTAGACCCAGTAATCTCTCTTCTCAAGAAAACTTTATGCCCAAGCCATGTAAATTTTTGAGAGGTTATATTGAGTTCTGTACCGCTACGCCATACAACTGTGACTGTATTGAGGGCGTCGTCTATGTAATGGCGGTTCAAGGCTCGACGCGTAATGATCTTCAGTTTGAAAATTACAGGCAAATTTTTAAACTCTCAACCCTCTCGGGGCTGTATTGATCTTTATCATATCCCTGTCCATCTATCCTGATATCTCCCAGATGAATCATGGAAATCTATCTTCCAAGGTTCCCGCACCACGAATTTTTTTCCTGCGGAGGTTTATACTCTAGCAGACACGTACATGGAGGTTGGCTGAGGCCAGAGACTGACTCGACGAGTGGCACGGGGCCTTGAATGATGGTGTGCTCCTAAAATTGGCCGAATTTCGATTGCAAACTATCGTACTGGGAGGGAAAGATTAATGTAGCGGCGAGCCGTGAATCATTACTTCGCGGGCCAACTTCTGTTTAGCGAAATTTGGCCAAATTTCGTTCTGAGTGGATCATACAGTCTCTTTTTTTTTTTTTGTATCAGATTTTAATTGCGTATGCAGCTATCTAGCTATGACACAATATCAAAGAAAAGTACAGAATAGATGATTCAACGTAAGGGAAGAGCACTCATGCCTCGGATTTCATTTGCAAGTACCACTGCGAAGTTATGCTGGCTTTTTCTTCACCCCAAGTCAACCCTCATCCGTGAATACCCACCCAGGGGAACGTCTCAAAAACCCTGAGTTATCCAGACATGCCTCCATCATCATTCAACTTCTCTCCGCGCGAAATATGGTCTGAGATGTCTCCTTCCCAAGTGGAGTAGGTGCCCAGGCTACTCAAACTATACCAGAGAACATCACCAGGAGGCGGACCACAACACCTTCCATCGTTGGCTTGTTTTTATAGTGTCAGCTGCACTCTCGCAAGCGAAGTCTTGGCGCACACAAAGCCCAATTCGTAAAACTCTTTCCAAAATTCGAAATTTCACGCCCGTCGAGAATGTTTCCCTCATCTGCATCATCTTGTAAACTTGTCTTGATTCCTCTCTCATCCATCCCAAAGAACTATCTCCCAGATTTGTGCTCCACGCTTTGCTTCCTCCGTGGGGTATAAATATCGGCGTGGGCGTGTATTTGGTGGCCAACTGAGACCAGAGAAGGTCGAAGAGTGGTGTGGTTATTGGAATGAGGATATACTTGGTCGTACTTGTAGACTCGATGAGACGAAGATAGGAGTCAAACTCGTTGGGAGCGAAATAACGACGTGGAGGAGTAATTTGGATTTTTGCCTCGTGGGCCAACTTCTTTGATATTGCGAAATTTGACTGAACTTGGCTCTGGGAGAATATTTCACTCCCAGGTTCGTAGAGGACACCGCGTACAGGTGTTCAGTCTTGCCCTCCATCATACAGTCTCGAATTCGGCTGAGGAACCAGGGGACTTATCATTTGTCATTTCAGTCGAAATTTCTTTGTTCTGGCGCGTATTTTCGCCCTGCTAATTTGTTTAGTCTTCATCTGGGCTGTTCAACCCATCATTATTCGACAGTTAGATGCGTTCCGATCATTTAGGTAATACGAGGCATAGTTGCACCCCACAACTTGACCTGATCTAGCCCGACCCCAGTTGTACTTCAGCTCCGATAAGTGTAGGATGAGCGTTAATCTACCTAGCACGTTTGTCAATAAATAGAGAACAAAGTCTGGATACCCTTCAGCGATATTCTCTACGAGCCAAGTTCAGGCAAATTTGGTGATACCGAAGCTGGCCCGCGAGGCAATGGTTCAAGGTTATTAGGTTGAAGCTTTGTCGTTGAGTGATAGAGATGAGGTAGAGGCTTGTGGGTCACGATGTATGAGATATCTAAGATGTGTATGTTAGAGTTTCATGCTATGTTCTCGTACTGTCAGGGTTGTCCTTTTTCTATATACAAAAGGGCTTTCGCCATCCCGTTTCTTTTCACCCGCGTGGCATCACTTGCTATACAACTACTACTCACCATGAAGTCGGAGGATGAAAAGCGTTAGATTACGACACATTGTACCTAAACTTTTTACTCCCAATGAGATCGATTCTCATCCAAGCCTCAAGTCTGCTATTACGACCTAGTATGTGTGTGTGTTTTATTGTACTACTTGAGTCTATGACTATCTAGCACATTGGGCTCCTCTCTGACCCAGGCCACACCTTGTATAGTGCTCCTTGCCTCTTTTATTACTTGAAAGATCATTGATATATTGCCCCTGATCAATATCTATTCAGCTCAGTATTTACACGTGGAATTCGACCACCTTTTCCACGGAACCTTCTACCCAAAATAAAAAAATGGTAGCAAGGGAAACTGCGTGCGCGGGAAAAAGTCTCAAAACCCCTGCAGCCCCAGCCAGGCAAGGCCTAGTCATCGGGACCACATGAGGTGCGCATATTCATCTATATCTCCCTTCTATGTAACATTCGAGGCCGACTTGATCCAATCCACCATCTCCGTATCGGGTGCTGGGTACGCTCCAGAAACTCATCGGATTGCTTTTCCTCCATGATCAAGGGTGAGTGATGAGTAGGGCTCCAACCCTACCATCTGACCTAATAGTAGTGCTAGGAGGTTGTGCTGAAAGATGAAGACGATATAGATG